TGTGGGTTCCTGCTAGTGAAAGAGGTTTCTGCTGGTTGGCAATTCTCAGAAGTGAAGCTGTTTCAAGAGATCTTGCCTGTTCTGTCCCCTGCTTGCTTCTCACCCACCAAATACTTATTGTTGTGGCACTTAATTTTCAACACTAAGCCACAGCACCACCAAGAAACATTTCTTGAAGTGACCTGCAAGTGTTTGCACACAGTGTTCACATCATCAGTGCTGCAGCTGTAGGAGGTGACACAGCAGAGGAGGGGAGGTGCACTGGTGAGCCAGCTTTAGTATCTCACAAGAGACCTGCAGAACATCCTACCAAACTAAGACTTCAAGTGTCTTAAAATCCATTCCACAGTGAGCTAATCTAATTAAAGGCATTTGGGGTGATGATTAGTAAATTTGGTTTATTTAAGTTCAGTTAATTTGGGGTGTCCCCATGAGGAGAAGAAGTCAAATCCTGGGATCTGCAGGGGGGTCAATTCTGCTTTGGTGAAACTTGCCACGGAGTGGTAATGCCTTTCCTCATCCCTTCCCTCATGTCAGCATGGGCAATGGGCTGGCTGCATGTGGAGGCTGACAGGCTTGCTGATGTGATTAAATGTTACTTGCTTTTTCTTCACAGGGTCAATTTTCCAGCCAGCTTTACCCCCCAGGTGATCTGCCCTGGTGGTATCTCTGCATTCACTCAAACTGGCCAGGCCCAGGAAAATTCTCCAAAGGGTCCTCTGTTAGGATTGCTCCCAAGGGAGAAAGGGCACAAACGTGATTTACAGGAAGCTGAACAATTAGTTAGTTACGGAAAACCCAAACTTTGAGTGCCAAGAGGTCAGAGCAACATCAGAGCATTGAAGTGTTATGCTCTGGGCTGCCTGAGCACCATGGCAGACCAATTATCATAGAATCATTCATATGATCTAATATTTACTGACCTCAGAAGAAACCGATTTTCAATTACCTACTATTGTTTCACAAACCTAGGTGGCAGGAGAATTTTTTTTTTTTTAGAATCGCAATAGCTGAAACATAAAAATAAAGCACACACTTTAAAATCACTCAAAATATCAAACACTGGCTTTCCTCCTCCCACGATATCTGTGGTCTTAAATGCATCATTGCAAAGGGAATTATTCATGTAGTCTCATCAATAAATCTTACTAAAATCCTTTCTGTTGCAGTCTTCATTCATCTAGCAACTCCTCTGTGGTAATTAGGGTAAGAGCTAACTGAGATACCACAGAGTTTGCTCCTGGCAGTCATTGAACATCCCGAGTATATCAAGGCTGTAAAGTAGGCATTTCTCAGCAGCAGTTCATTCATTGTGTGCCCTGATTCAATTATTACCTTGTCTCCTGTTTCACAGCAATCACTTTGGTTCACATAAAGCCTCAGAGCCTGTGTCAATGAATTCCTTGAATGGCGTCAGCTGCATTTTGTCTCCTCTGCAGTATCTAGCCTAAATCCAGGAGAGGCAGCCAAGGGGGAGCCCTGTTTCCCTCTGGCAGCCTTACTGGGCTATTCCTGCAGAGAGGTTTGGTTCTGCCATCGACTCTTCTCTCCACTGGCCTGGAGGTGTGGGGGCTGGGATAGCCCAAATTATGGGAAATAGATGACTCCAAGTGTGGAGACCCCAAGCAGCAAAATCAGCCTCCAAATCTGTCAGCCTGCTCCTGCCAGACCTGGCTCACCTTTTGATGCTTCTCCACTGGCTGCTCGGGGATGCACTATTAATTTACATCCAGCCCCTTACTCTTGCCAACTTTGAAGGCTGGGAATTTCACTAAGAGGAACTCAACCTTGCAGAGATCATCTTCTCCTGACCTATGTCCAAAGAGTTCTGCCACAGTTTCAGCAAAGACATTTTAATACAAAGTGAGTGTGCCTGGCAAGGCTCTATCCCAGCTTCTGCCCCAAACACCAACCCAGCACAGTCCATGCAGCTCTCAGGGTCTGCACCTGGTGGGAGTACTGGCAGGAATTCAGGATGTTTATGGAGCTCCCATCAATGTCTTTGAACCCTGATCTGGTGAACATTGAAGGTGGGATTTAGTCCACCCCCTTCTTTCCCTCCTTCCCCTCCTTCTTGCTGGGGCAACAGCTGAAACACTCATGACTTTGCACAAATACCTGACTCCAGCAGTGTCACCCTCAAAGGTCTTGGAGACAATGCCACCCTTCTAAATGGACAGTCACAGAAGGTATGGTGGTACTGCTGGAATTGGAGGGACAAAGGGAATGCCACCAGCTGCCCTCTCTGCCACGGACTTGAGACATTTCATGACACACAGAGTGCAGTATCACTGGCAGTTTATTGTGCTCTGCTTTTTCTTCAGACACCACTCTTCACTTGTGCCCACCCCATTTTTTGTGCCCAGTACAATAATTCCGAGAGGTTAACTCAAAGCAGGGAACTGACTCAGTTTAAAAAGATTTTTAAAAAAAACCCCAAAAACGCTGTGCAATGAAATAAAAAGTAAAACATGTTTTTTTAAGAAGGATCAGTTCCCAAATGTCACTGAGAGTGACCCCACAAGCAGTCATGCTGAATATCTGATGGCAGGAAAAAGCTGTGGGGGCGTGGGAATACCTTAAGCTGGCTGAACAGCCACCCAGTGCTTTGTCTTATGAAATCCCAGCCTGAGGAGAGGCTGTGCTCTGCTGTTTTCCTGCTTCTCCTCTCTTCCTTTCCCCCCAAACCTTGGGCCCCCATCACTGCCATGGCTACATCCAGCCTGGGATGTACATTTTAATCTGCAGTGTGTATATAAAAGAGCTGGAAGCAGTGGCTGTCTGAGACCCACCTGACCCTTGGATGTACAGCAAACTTCCTGTTCCAGGGCTGCCGGCTCTTTAATCTCCCAGCCTTTAAAAAATAAAAGTGAGCCTAAGTGAACAAATGCTTTGTAATGGCGACTCCTGGAACAACTTTTCTCTCTTGCCCTCTGACTGAGCCATAGAAAACAGTAAATATCTCTCCCAAGAGTCCTTTTTTACAATAGAAAAATGTCAGGCAAAACTGAAGTTTCATTTTCCAGCCTTGGACTCTGCAGCAGACAAGCACAAAAGCTAAAGAAAAAATAAAACAGCAAAGGGAAAGAACTCCACTCTTGTTAATTCAGAGTTTGGGGAGATTTTTGGTGGAGAATAAGCTTCTTTTGGTGGAGAGCAAGAAACACTTGGGAACTGGGTCTCTCTTCTTGCAGGAGGAAGTGGTCTTGGGCTATACTTGACAGCAAATTAGCATTGACATTTGACTCGTTTTGATCTGAGTTATTTACAATGGTATTATCTGTGTATTTTTTACATGCTGTGAAGATTCCCATTGCCAGATGCCTCGAGATGGCTGTAGGATGCAGAGCATTCCACAGTCATTACTCAGGGGTCATAAACTTCACATTACTTGTGGGGAGGAGGGGAGCAGGGGGAAATGGGCTAACTATTAAAAAAAGGAAAAAGCAATCCTAGACTTAGATTTCAGTGGCCTTGTGTATTTAACAAGAGAGAAATTAAAAACGTGCTTAGGCAGGCTGGCACTGTCACACTGTGGGGCTGATGACTGGAACGGATCCTTGTGAATTTGCTCTACACAGAGAAGTGCAATCAGGGATAATTTTCCCAATGCTCTGGTCTGGGGGAGGCTGCAATGGAGCAACTGCTCCATAACACTGCCAGGTCAGTGATCCCCAGCAGGGGATTGCTGCTTGGGATCTCCAGAGCTTGGGCTGGCAGGACATGTCCCAGGGCTGGCACTGCACTGCAGCTGCAGGGAGGGAGCTGACTGCCAGCTGGTGGACTTTTAAGAGACTGAGTGACTCAGAAGGGAGACTTTGGGTTTTGTGTTTTTTCTGTGTTTGGGAAACTTTCAAGAGAAGTTCCAAGGCCAAATCACAGACCTACACTTGTGGTTTTTTAAGCAGGTGCTTCATGCACAGACCTTCCTTACTTCCTAAAGGAGTGAAGATGCCCAGGGAAGTTAACAAGAGATGCCCAGAGATGCAATCCAAAGAAAGGACACCTCTAACTGCCACCAGGTTGTTTTGCTGGATTTGTTCAGAGGGAAGTTTCTCTTGTGCAAGTCACAGCACACACCCAACACAGCAAAAATCCAGGCACGGCCTGGGAAGTGGATAGGGCAGATATGAACCTTGCTAAGGGATAACTTCCCAGTGCTATCAAATTCCCCAGCTGTTGCTCTCCAAGCAGGAACCTGAGTCTTCATCTCATCTGAGACTCAGCCATTAAACACTCTCAGCACATTGAAGTAAAACCCTGGGGAAGCTTTACCTTTGTCACGAGAGAGAACCTGTGTAGAATATCAAGGTAGGTCAAAGGGGGGAGTCTCAGAGGCTTGAGGAGTGGGAGAGAAGATGGAGAACCTGGTATCTGCAGGGTGTTGCAGGGGTTTTCTGGAGGCTCAAGGACTGTGCAGGGTTTGTGCATCCTTGGAGGTGCTGTGTGCTTAATTCTGCTGCCACCATGGTCTGCTGGCCCCCAGGAGTTCAGCACATGATGGGTGTGATGAACACCCAATCTCCTTGGGTGGCATCAGCCCCCACCTTCCACACCCACACCAAGGCTAGGCTGGTTTAAACTCCAGATGATTAAGCCAACACCTAACTTAAAATATAAAACATTTTCGAGATGGGGACTAACGTTTTAGCTGAATTTGCAAAGATCAAGAAAGGAAACAATTCAGCCTTTGATGCTGGCACAACAGCATGGTCCATTTGACCTTGCTGGCATCTCAAGTAATTTTAAACCACAACAGACAACAAAACTAACACTTCTATGTGGTTTGCATTAATATCTATTTCTAGTGGTTTAGCTACAAGAAGCTTTGTGACAATTTTCAAACCTGTAAATGTCAGCTGTCTTGCTCTGATCACTTATCTCACCTCTCCGAGAGCTCTCTTCTTGAGACCACATCCTATTTTGTAAAAGAACTTTGTTATAACTCTGCAAAATGAAAAATCAAAACCAAAATAAATGAGGCAACATGAATCCAGAAATTAAGAATAAAGCTCCAAACTTTATTCATTGACTTGAGTACAACAGTGATGCAGATTACAGTGGCACAGGAGTGCAATATGTGCTGTTTGCAGTATGACAGTGGAAACACTAATTGTACAGAACAGCAACCCAGCTCAACTTCTCATTATGCATACAAGCAGACTTACTGTACAGACAAGACATTGATTCACTTTTAGAGACTCAGAAAAAGAGACAGGTGAATGGAAAACACAGGGACACCTCCCCAAAACGCTGGTTTGTAAGATGTGGAGGGAGGAGAAAAGAAAAATAAAATAATAAAAAAATCCTATTGCCAAAATCTACTGATTTAAAGGAAATTATACCTTTAAAAAATTAGTTTCAGTTTCCAAAGCTTAAAAAAAAGCCCCCAGCTGTAAGGCCCCCTTACAGGAAGAGTTGTTCACAACGACCAAGCCTCACTCTGCTTGGACAGGGCTGCCCTGGGAGTGACACACCAAACTCCTCACTGTGGGCACACACAGCAGCCAGAGGCTTCCCTGGCTCCAGGGGCACAGTGCCAGTGAGAGGCTCCACTGCTGCCAGTGGGTTTGCATCTGGGGGGAAGTGCATTCTGAAGGTGTTCAGTGACAAAAGCCCAGGCAAGTGTCCAGTGGGACCTGTCAAAGCATCCTAAGGGAGCTAGAGACTCAGCCTGGTAAGGCACAGCTGGGATTCCCAAAGCTGCTTCTGCTGCTGAAATGCTGCATTTCCTAATGCCCAGGAGCAAGGTCCTGTGGGCCTCAGCCCTGCTAGTCCTGGCAGCAACACTTGTACTGACTGTGGTGATCCTGGCAGAACAGGTCACTCTTTGCCTTCCATCATCTCTTTTTTACCTCAATGGAAGGACCACAGTACAAATGGAAGTATTACCTCTTCACAAAGACGAGCATTTTTGAGCAACTCATTAGCAGAAATCTATTTCCCTGTTAGAAGCCCTTTGGGCAACAAATAATTTATTTTGCATACAGGCAAACAACATTAATGGCCAATTACATTCCCACTTCCTGCACTGATGCTTACATTAAAATTAGTAACACTTCTGCCAAATGTGGGCACCACATAGCTCCTGCCAGCAGAGTTCTCTGACTGAAAACTCGGTATATCTTTGCATTGTGATGGATTATTTTGTTGTTGCTTCTTATTTTATTAAGGACAAGAAAGGTGTGTGGAAGAAATCACAAGGCAAAACTCACCACCCAGAGCAATGCTGCAGCCCACAGTGACAGGAGTGTTTCTACACTAAGGGAAAAAGGTGCATTGTGCTACTGTCACAGTGCTCAGGAGCTCTCTCCAGCTCTTCATTTCGCAGCAGTGGGGTAAAAATGTACCACATATTGTCAAGACCAGCCCTTACTAAGCATCTACCCTGAAGGCTATGCTGGACTCTAGTGGGTGTGTTGACAGGGCCACAAAGCTGGACAGGGCACAAACCAGACTGTGACCTGGGGAGAACTGAATGGGGAAGGGGGCAATGGAGACAAACCCTAAGCATCCCTCTGGCATGGAAAGATGAGTGGCATTTTGGACAGATTAAATTAGTCTAATTCTTGTTTCCTGCAAGTGTTTTATTGCATCGTCATTATCACTGACTGGTGTTCCTCACTGCTGTAGGTAACCTTCAGGATGTGGACATCCTCCTTCACAAACACATTCCAGAGGAAAGCAATGAATCATGGAGTGAGAGAAAGGCTGGTTTTCATTTGTCTGTCCTAAGAGGCTATGGTCCAAATATGCCAACATCTCCTCCTAAGTCAGGAGGAGCCAAGATAAATCATTGCCAGAAGAGTTTTTAGATGTTGTTCATATTTTTATCATTCTGAGGCTTAATTCTCCTGTTGCTTGTTCTAACTGCTTCATACCATTAATTTCAGTGTGGGTGCTTACATGCTATGAACTCCAAACTTGACTTCCCCACAGTTTGAAACAGGTACTACAGGCTCATGGCAATGTTTTCCTCTAATCCTGCCAAGCATCACCCTGGCAAGCCCTGGAGAAATCAAGTTTATGCCAGCCCTCCTCCTTCCCATACCTTAACCCTTCTCTGTCCATCCATACTACCCTGCCAGGAGACACAGGGATTGTGGAAAGGGATTCACTTCAAAACCTGCCCTACTTCAGTGTAGTAACTTTTACAAAAGAGGCTGCTGATGAACTCCCTTGAACAGCAGGACACCTGAACTACATGGCTGAGAAAGGATTTCCCAACTGCAACAGGAAAAGGGCAGCAATCACTTCAGAGCCTGACCCACAGACTCAGACATTGTAAGGAGAGATGACACCTCTCTTGACAGAAGCAAAAACACTACTGGAGCCACAGAGATGTCTTATCCCACATAAAATTACTGAGTTCTCCCAGCCTAGCCTTTCACAGCACACTGCAGTACAGCCACAGCACACCACAACCCACATCTAATGAGCTCCAAATGGGAGGGTGTGTGCCACACGTGCACCTGTGCTCAAGGATCTGCACCTGGACATAATCCCCTGTGTACTGAATCCCACGTGTACACGTGGGGTTATTCTGCAATGCTTTGACTGGGCCTTGCTCTTACATCACTCCTAAAGCAGAAAAGGAGAAAAAAAAAAGACAAAAGCAATCAGTTTTTAGTCCTCTTGGTAACGACATTGATGGGATGGGACTTTATCAGAAGCTTTGCAGGAGTTAGAACACATGCATGTACTTAAGGCATATTCATAGAATCACAGAATGATTTGGGTTGGAAGGGACCTTTAAAGATCATCTAGTCCAACTCCTGACGTGTCACAAGGGAATTTCATCGAGGGGAATTACTAAGAATTGCTACTCAATGGATACCAGGAGAATGATTAATTGCTTACAAAGAAAATTCCCCCTGGGGCTATATTTTGTTTTTCTTAGGTGGGAAGAGCAGATGAAGGAACAGAAAATATTGCAGTGACAATCACTAAGAGCCCACTGCAGAAATCCTCCCTCCCCTATGGCTGGCTGCAGTGTGGGTTTTTGTGGACAGATGATCTCTTGGGTGTGTCTGCGTGTAGGTGGTTGAGAATTAATTGCAAGCATGAAACTGAAGCTCAGAAAACCCTTCATATTCTCAGTCAGGAATAAAGCAGTAGTAAGTCTAGTGTAGAGGGCTGTGAACTGACTGCTCCACACCAGTGAGATGGGAGCCAGCAGCAGCCCAAAAATCCAGTCAGACATGAGTTGTTTCTGCAACATCTAAGCTGGCTTCTCTTCATTCCTTCCCAAACTTAAGCTGCAGTTTTAAATTCTCAGTTGATGAGGCAGATCCAAATTACCATGCCATTCTTCACAGGCTAAGAGGCTGAGTTTTTTTTTTTTTTTTTTTTTTTTTTTTTTTTTTTTTTTTTGCATAGGAGGGAGAGGTAAGAAAACAACCTGGCTTAGTCATTTCTGAAATGACTGGGTAGTGTGTTCATATGTGCTGTGAGAAGTTCGGTAGTAATCTAGAGATGAGGACAGAAAAATGCAGACTGGCAGCTCACATCCTTGAGAGAGCAACTCTTCAGGTCTAAGAGGGCAACTTGAACTAAAAGACCTGTAATGCCTGTAATGTTTGAGTGTCTATAGGATGTGGGATGACAAAATGTGGAGAATTTCAATAATTTAAATGCATTAAAACTCAATCAAAAATGCATTTCAACCTGCCCAAGCCCCTGATACTCCCATTTACTTCTCAGAGCTCCTCTAAAAACCTTTCAGATGTTCTGAAAAATGAGGTGAAACATGTTACCCTGATTCCCTGCTGCAACCTCAGTGCTACCCAGAGAGCTCACTCACAAGTGTGTGTGTGTGTGTCACAGTGTCCCCAGGGCCTTCTGTTCAGTGGGGGTGATGCCAGATCCTTGGTGGCACGTCCTCCAGCTTGTCCCACAGAGCTGGAGACATTCCCATAGCTCTTGGGACATGGAGCAGGCACTGAGCCCTGGTCTCTGTCTCTCCCCTACTGAATCTTCATCTCAGATTTTATCAAAGGAACCACAGTGATCTGTCACTACAGGACTTCCTAAACCAGCAAGAAGAGGCAGGGTTTGGGCTGTCCTGCACAGTTCATGGTGAAATGTCATTTGGTGATACAGAGAACTCAACACAGTGATACTGAATCTCAGAACTACACGGGACTGTTTCCTCTTCCTGACTTCCAGATTTTAACACCAATGTCTCATATAACAGAAAATACAAAGGTTCTCATGTCTCCAGTGCCTGAAATGTCTGCATTAAAAAGGAAACCTTGATATTCTTTGACAGACACAGAACCTAAATGACCCTCTCCTATCAGGAGAGAGGCTCATTAGTGCAGTTATGCATTGGCAGTTAAGCACCAAGGAAGAGAAAAAGCTGACCTGGCAGCCACAATGCATCCATTCAATTACTTTGGTGCTCATGTCCTCCTCTGTATAGGACTTGCCCAGAAGCAGTTAAGGTATATACAGGCAGTTTTTCAAGCTGCAGCATATTGGAAGATTGAAAGCAATAAGGAGTTCAATGCAGCTCAGAAACTGTCTTGCATGATTACTCTGTCTTCAAAAACCAAGTCAGGCACAAAGGGAAATAAAAATAACCAAGGCTGGAGCTTGATGCTTCAAAGAAAGGAAAAAAAAAAAAAAAGTCTGTGCCCTCTTTTCCAAGCACAAGTGAAAACCTACATTAACTAAAATGAGTGCTTGGCCCCATGCACTGTGCCATATTGACAACAGCTACTGCAGTTTAATCAAAAAGCCTCTATTGGCAGAGCTTGGCACCTTGAAGGTACCTTTTAATTCATAAACGTTCCTCCCTAAGAGGGATGAATTTGCATGTTAGCTTGCAGAGAACCATCCTCCCTGCCATTGTAAAATCCTACAACTCCACTGCAGCCTGATGAGCTGTACTAGGAATTACCAGCAGGGAGTTCATCCTGAAATCTCTGGATGCAAACCAGGGCACACTTAAAATAGCATTTTCTCACTCTGTCACTCCCACCCCCATCCACCCACCTCCTGGAGTAAATTACAAGAAAACTGACTCTTCTCCATCATTCCCATTACTTAAGTAATCTTAAATTATTCAAAGGACTGGTTAAGCTCCAGCCTTATTAATTCAAGCAGAAAGTGTGGAAGAGGAAGACTGACAACACACACACAGCAATTCACTTCTTATATCCTAGCAAATATTTACAAGGAGTCCATTTTCCAGAAATCCAAGTGATGTGCCCTGCAGGTGAGCAGAGTGCCCACCACCACAGGCTGTGTTACACGAAGAAGACACCGTGTCAAAAGAGTGCCAAGTAAGAAACAGTTGGGTGAAAGACTTAATGTGACCATGTGGATAAGTTACAAGGGGCTTCTCCTTCACTACAGACCTACCTATGTCCCTCTCCATATATACACACATATATACACACATACACACACACAGAGATAGATGGAGAGATATAAATACATGTGTGCACACAGGCAAACACGCATACATATATATATATATATATTTATATATGTATATATTCTCTTCCAGTTCTTGGAGTGGTTACAACTACTTTAGTCTGCAAGGCATCCTAAGGGCACTTCCTGGCTCTAGCAATAAAGTCCATCGTATTGTGGAGAGAAGTAAAGGGAATATCATTGAGGGAGAAGAACAGAACAGTTTTCTACCTTGTATAATATCAGGTAACAGGTTGACACCTCTGAAAGCTATCATTGCTGTTTCTGAGCTCAGATATTTTCTCCCTGCATTCCAGGAGGGCAAATGTTCATCTTGTTCAACTGCAGAGGTGCCACTATGTTGATTTTCCCTTTTTGGTGGGTAAGTAGTTGCTTCCAAACTGTTTGGACTGAGTGATACAATATTCTATGCATCATTTGTGGTTGGTTTGTTTAAAGGGAGGTTAAAAGAGTTTTGCTTTTTTCTTCATGTCGTTGCGTCTCCAGAGAGGTAACTTGTCAAACTCCTGTATCGTCATGCCAAATATTTCTTGAAAAACTTCAGGTGCTAAATGACGCTTTAAAAAAATAAAAAAAAAGGAGGTGAAAAAAAAAAAAGGGAGAAAAGGCAATGGTAAGTCAAAGCCAAAGAGACATAACAGGAGGTTGGAGTGCCTTAGGGATTTCTCACTGTGTAAGAGCCATTGCTGGAAAAAATAATGCTTTGGCAATACACATATCCAAGTCTTCATGGACTTGGGTGCCCCAGGAACCAGTCAGGGAACTATTTCACTTGCTGAATAAACAAGAGACAGAGAAATGATTGGTCTGAAGCCATCCAACAAGCAGTGACAGACCAGAGAACAGGACCAGCTCCTGCACGCCCATCCCAGGCCTTAGCAAGTCACCTCTTCTTATGGAAACCCAAACAGACACTGGGGTTTTAAGAGTGTTCTGCAGAGGGGCTGCAGCTTGACATGCTGAAAGTTCTGAGAAGGAAGATGTCTGGCCAGGCTAACTGTTCAGCACACTTCTCTGCTGCTAATGAAACATTTTTGGTGCTGTCCTGTGCACAAGTTACTTCTTGTTCAGCCACATTGCAATGCACTGGATGGGGAAAGTGTCTCCCTGTAGCACTAATCTAACACAGCACTGAATTCTGATTAGTGACCCATATCTAATAATAAAAATGGGAATAAAACCAAATGGTTACCCAAATTACTCACATTTTTGTGGCTCCTTCCATTCATCTCCACAGAAAATTAACTGACTACAAATGACTTAAGCATCCCCAGCATTCCACCGGGCTGTTTAAGTCTTCCTAATCCACAAAGTTGTAAACTGTATTTGTTTGTTGGCAGAGATTTAGATCCTCATATTTCTGGATATCAGCCAGTCTTCTAACTAAGTCACAGGACTCATGGTGAGTTAAAGAAAGTTAGACTTTTGATCCTCAAGGATGGCTGACAATGACTCTTAGCTAAGAGATGGTCCAGGATTGAACAAAGTATTGCTCCACTCCAATATGGATCTTATGAAACTGGTGCAAGTCTGGGCTTTTAGCAAATCCACAAGTACATAATGAAAGGCCTGAAAACATAAGGGGATTGTGAGAAGCTCAGTCTGTGAGCAGGGAGACAGAGATGGGGGAGACTGAGGAGATGCAGCTGCTTCCTCCCAGTGTCTGATTCCTCTTTCCCTGATCAGTGCTGAGAAATCTTCCCACATTTCTCAGGACCCACATTTCAGTGTTTCAGCTTCCACAAACAAAACACAACTTTAGCAGGAAAGAGCATTTAGGAACTTGCTTCTCTTACCTCCAGCCTGGTTCTGTCTACATCTTTTAGTATTTTATTTCGCCCTCTGTTGGTCACCATGAGTATTTCATATGGAAAAATCTGTTAACAACGTATAAAAAGGGGGGGAAAAGAGATATTTATATTTATAGTCTAAAGCAGACAGAACAAAATGTGTCTCATTTTCACAAACACACAAGTATTTTTTTTCCTTTTCAAAGCAAATATCAGTTGTTTTTTTTTTTTTCTCTTTATCCTTTTTCCCTAAAGTTGTATGGAAAACAAGCTGATCTGGACAGAGCCAGAATTTGTTTAGCATCGAACTACATCATATTGCAAAGCCACAATTTTTATGGTGTATATAACACATCAGCTGGCTTTGGTCAGGCAGAGTCCTTTCTAGGCAATATATTTCCTCATCCATCCGTGTATAAATTTATTAAGGTAATTGCATTTGTCATTCATTGGTCTAACTAATGGTTGCCAGAGTGTGGACAGCCCTAAGGACAGACAGTGAATGGCTTTAAAAACATGAAAGTACATTAAAAAAGCAGCATCTCTGAATTAGCAAGATATTAATTAGTGGGGGTCACTGCTTTCAGTGGAATTTATCAATGGATTTCCTTGCCTTTTTGGATAGTTAGAGAATTCAAACAACTAATAGAAAACAGTGCTGCTTGGAAAGGATTTCAGAAAATATTAAAATCAGTTTCTGGAGTCAGCCCTGGTAAATAAAACTCTCTTCTATTTTCTTTTTCCCTTGGATAGACACTTCCATGCCTTAGGAGAGCTCGTGTTCTGTCTGCCAGAGTGTCTCCAGAGCCCTTCTCATTGCCTGTCTCTGTGGAGTAGAAAGCAGCACTCCCAGACCCCTCAGCCAAGCCCTACTCAAGTCAATGCAGTTCTTCTGGAAACTTCAGGGGCAACTGGCTCAGCCTTTACTGTCATTTATGGCTCTTGTCTTAGCTGCCCAATGAGAACATGAGTGAGACCACCAAAACTCTCCTGGAGAGAGCTGAGCTATTATCAAATGCTATTAATTACATTACTTCAATAGCAGAACAATCGACTTTTGTGCAGAACTCAGCAATGAGTTCATTTCATTGTTAACAATTATCCCAATGAACTTTTCAAAAACATAATAAATAACATTCAGGCATCAATGAACACACCACTGATTTTATTGTAAGTAGTAATAATTTAAATAACGTGTGCTTACATACCAATTGTAAGATATGACTCTTATGAGATTCTGACATTGTCACAATTGTACAGTTAAGTCTATTCTTGGAATTACATTTTTAATGTTTGATACTGGAAATGGCTACCATAAACAGCAGTATAGGAAACTAAAACGTAACTTTTCATATTTAAACAGGCAGAGTTTAATTTAAGATCTACGGTCATAAGTACATTTTATATTTAAATATTCACAACAAGGCATGTCTCAATCTGGGCTGGCAAGATGCACAAATTCTGTCCTTTCTGAAGAACCATTTGGTAACAGCTGGTCATTCTTAGGATTATTAATTTCTACTTTTCATATGTTTTATGCTGACTCTGAATTGTTTTTTTTAATTTTAGCAGGTGTAAGTTAAGTGTTGGACAATTGACATGAATAAAAACAGTGCCAATTCACACATCCTGAGAGTCTGGCATCACCTTTATAAATAGCAACAGGAAGTGACTTATTATCTCAGGAAATTTCCCATAAATTTTATAATTAAAATAATCATTAATAAATAATCATTAAATTTTGTCATTAATAATACTGACAGAATTTGTCACCTAAAATAGCATCCCAAATCACTGGGTACATCGACAGCAATGGTGACTGTAAGAATTTCTATTGCACTGAAAAAGAAATTATTTGGAATTAAAAGCAGTATCTCAGGAGTCCCCATGGTCTTATTTATATAATATATAAAACCACTTGTAACTGCACAGTGCACTGGGGTCTCAGCTTATAAAGCCAGGGTTATTGCCTTGTACAGTTTGCCTGGAGGTGACTCGGAAGCACAAGAAGTAATCTGGTTTGCAAAGTGAGCTCCTCACTTAACTGCAGAAATTCTGATCCTTGTAACTTTGGCAAAATCATGATTTCATGGAAGGTTCACTGGCAATAAAGTTTTAAGATTTAAAACACAGCCCTGGTTGAATTCCCTCTATAAATTATATTTCTTTTTGATTCAGGCATCTCTAGACATAGCTGTAAAAGCATTTTTATTTGTATCTTAAATTATAATTAGCAGACATTGTCTCTTTTCCCAATAAATCTCCTGAAGAGTTTCCTGTACAGGGAATTCAATGCTTTGGACAGGTCTCAGGTTCAGTGCTGAGAGCTAAGGAACAGATCCAGACAGACATGCAGGTATCTCCCTTCCAGTCAAAGATTTCCCCTAAAATTTGGAATTAAAACAGCCTCAACAGTGTGTCGTGAGCCACAATATTCTGCAGCACTTTTTGGACTGGACAGATCTGAGACCTTCTCATTGAGTCTGGCCTGGTGCTTTGGCTGGTGAGAGCCTGACAGAGAACCAGCAATGGAGCACCTCCCATACCTGTCACTTTGTCCCTAGAAAAGCTTCCTGAACCCAGGAATCACACCTGGGTGCCCTCAGCCTGCCTGAGCACCAACACCTGCAGAACAAAGTCCAGAACAAAGGGAGAGGTTTGGCACATAAGGAGCAGGGACTGAGGTAAAGGAAAACAAGGGAACTAAGACATTTCCCATCTTTTATCTGCATTTCACAGTAAAACCTTCAATGTTTTGAAGGAAAGTGAATAACATCTGCACTTGCCTTTGGCTCCAACATGTTAGGCATAGATACTCCTCTGTCCATTCTCATTCCAGGGACATGACCATCCGGGAGGGACTGCATCGGATACAGGCACACATCAGACACAGAGGTTACACACACAGAGGGAAAAGGCACTCAAGTAGTGGTGAAGACAAAGGTGAATTTGCCCTGAGACTTCCTTCAAGTCTTAATTATTGGTCTTAATATTTCAATCATTGCCAGGGCTACTGTTCACTACTCCTGTGAGGCAGGCAGAGGGATCCTTCAGTCCTCTCAGCCACCACAGCTCCTGTCCCTGCTCAGCCTGGTGAGCTCCTCTCTAGTTCTTCCCTAGCATTAATTCAGATCCCACCCAACAGCACAGAAAGCACTCTTACAACTCTGGGCTTTCCTTCTTGTAATTTACTGTATCAGTAATTTTTTTTTTCTCTAAGATGGGAAATTTTTACTGTGAACACAAACAGGGATAGGATAAAAAGGTGCTGTTTTGACACAGGTACTAAATCTAAGGAAAAAACATTTGGAGCACAGTACATGGATAGCTCTGCTTCCCTCTCATAATCTTACTCTCTTTCCAATCATCATGATTTTGATATGCCTTTTACAAAATCATCCAAGTAATTAAACAATTTCTTAAATTGCCATTTCATATTGTGATTGTGCTGAGGAGCCAGGCAGACTCAAACCATTCTGAAAAAAACCCTGCAGGCAGTAATTGAAGTAAAAAAGGTTTATATTTGCAAGCACACTTCTTTCTGGCTCATCTGCAATGGCAGCACTGTAGAAAACTACTGATCAGCCATCATGTCTGGAGAACAAATTAAAGGGTAAAAATGAGGTGTTCAAAGCTCCTGGTATGAGAGAAAATTTCCTCTGGAAGAGACTTTCTCTGTCTCTGGGGTCAGTACTAAAGAGGCTGGAAATAAATCCACCCTCATGCATCCAGAGAAGATTATTACAGATAACTCATACAGGAACAGACATTGGATTTTACAGAGCAAGTCACAGAATGGGTGTGAGCTGTCTCAGCTCTGGGGAGGTAACAAGGAGGAATCCGAGGCTGTGCCTGTTTTTTGTTGATAAGGTTCTACATTGGTGATTATGCATAAACATGCAGGAAAATCAAAGCTATTGTCTTAAGAAACCCTTCCCTGTAGCAGAAATTCAGAGTTGAACAAGAAGCTGCTTTAGGTTCTGCTGTCAGTTGATTGATGAAAACCCGTACTCTACCTGGAAATCTGAAAAGCAAAAGAGAAATCTCATCAGCTTTAGAGTGTGGAAGGACAGGAATCAGTCACAATCTACCAGAGAATCCTTCTCTGTTTCCTGATCTACCTGATTTTTCCAAAATCCCATCTGATTCTCTAAGGCCAGCAACATTTCTAATTTTGGACTTAGTTTGTAGAGTCAAGCACTCCAAGTATTGCAGTTCTTTTCATTATCTCTCCAAGTTTTTGGAGAATGAATTTATCATTCATAAATAATATTTTCAATTTTTATTTGGCACTGACTGGTACCACATCCAGCTCAAAGTCATAAAGAAGATCATGAGCAGCAATGAGGATTAGAGGGCGTTATCTCCATTTCTTCACTGTGGCACATTTTTTCAGACTGCACAGTGGATGATAATTTTCAGAGAAAGAAAACACAAAACTCACAGAACTCAGTTAATATTCCTGATAATGCACACATTACTTGCTTTCCATTTGATTCAATGCTAAAGTATGAACAAGGATCAGTTCCACATAACAGATTTAGCAAAATAAACCAAACATTTTTAACAGGTATTTGAAGTGCTTTGAGTTAATTGAGTTTGCCAGAGAAAATTAAAAATTCTTGAGCAAATACAAAGTAATCACACCCACAGCCTTAATATAAAACAGCAGAAGTGATCAAACATCTTTTTACATTTATCACTTACAGACTGTAAAAGGCTCCTCATCCTTACCTCTAACAGCACCACTCACATCCCCATAACTGTTGTACTGACCAAAATCTGTAGAGACCGGCTGTAACAGGAAAGGAGGGACAGAACATAAATTCACAGTTCATGACTTTACAAGCAGGTTGGTACATGGGGAGAAATAAATAGCTTTAATTCTTTTATTTCTCCCTCAATTTTACAACATTTCTTGCATTGCTTTCTTGCCTTTTTAACAAAGTAATTTGTGGGAGGGGAAAATAGGTTTGGTCTGACTTCAGGTGGTTTTATAAGAAACATTTATCAAACTGAAAATCCAACACAATTGATATGGAAACAAATATCATGCATAATTAAAGCCACCTTTCACTTCTCAAAATCACCATCTTCTTACCCTGTGAAGTCCATTTTTTCCATACCCAGGGAGAGAAGAGGTTTTGGAGGCTGCAGCATGTGCTGTTGAATGAGGAAGGGAATATATTTTACTGGAAAAATCCCACAGAAACGAAAAAAACTAGAACACTTGAGGAATCACCTAGTACAAAATACATAGTTAAAAGAGCCAAGCATACACACAACCAACTGAGACACACTGACTTTCAGAAATTCAGTCCCAAACTCAACACAAACTTCAACACATTCTCTAAGTTACAAACAGCTTTATCGTGCCATAGTGGCAGGCCATTAATAAGGGACACTGATTTTTCCAGGCTCAAAATCAAGGTGGTCTCCACTGGATTGAAAATAATGCTCATGGATCATCCATGGCATCAGCTTTAGCATCACCCCTGATTCCAAAAGGGAATTGATGACAGCACTGATTTTCCGTGCAAAGAGGGATGGACATATCTCAAATAAAGGAGTTCTCCAACCTCTGCTAAGGTTAATAATAAAATCAAAAGCTCTCAGTTGAGCAGGTACACTCTGGCCTTGTAAAAATGAAAGACAGTGAGTGAGAGCTACAGGAATCCTCTCCAAAGCCATCAAGGCAACACACTTATAAAACAGGGAACACAAGGAAAATCTTAGTTTGCTCCAGCTGCAGCTGTTCCAGTGGATGACTCCAGAGAGACTCATCTTGTCTCTTCTTGGCTCAAAGTACAGCTTCTGTGTTACAGTGGCTGGTGAAGGAAGAGAGTAAAATAAAACCCCCAAACACTTCTCAGGAGGTGTAAGAAAGCCACAGCTGTACATCAAAATGTGCAACGAGGCAAAGAATCTAAGTTACCAGTCTAAGTTAGCTTTTGTGCTTTTGCTTTGCCCAATTAAAATGTCAGCTCAGGTCAAAACACTGGTTGGGTTTGGAATATGCAGCCCCACTGGTAAACAATGCTGAATTTCTTTCCCTGGGAGAACAGACTGAACAGGGATAGAAACCATCAGTGTAAGCAAAATGTGTTGTTGTAATTTAACAGTTTAACCCACCTATTAGCATGTGTGTGATGTCATGGTCACTGAACACTTCGCCCCACTCCTCATCTGCACTAAAGCAGCTCTCTCCTCAAAATTGCCTGAAAATCCTCAGCCTCATATTTCTTCTAATTAAAAACATGACACTCCTCCCCTCACCAAAACCAGGTGATTAATCAGGCCACTCTTTCAGCACAGATCACCACACACACACACACATCAAGCAGCTTTCCTAGCTGTTTCTCTTCTGGGACACTGCTTGATATGTGCATTTGTGGTGTTTTCTCCCCATTGCTCATGACCAGTTTTTTTGCCTCCATGAATTACCTGGAGAATCGTAACGACTGGCAGAAAGGGCTGACCTACCGCGACTCTCCTTTTCCATCTCCTCCTTCAATATTAACTGTCCCAGACCAGAGTTGAGCTAAAAATGGCAATTAAAAAAAAAAAAAAATCAACAAAACAAAGCTGACCAAGACAGTGGTAGGAATTGCTTACAGAAAGCAAAGGGGCACTTTTTGGATGGTGCTCAGAAACAGCACGAGGACAAGCTTATAACCACCTTCATGAGCTGCTCCTCCTGCAGCTGCCGGCGTCTCTGCAGCTCCTCATCATCTTCCTCCCTTCCACTTGATCTGCGTCTCATGTCAGCTCCTGCTTCCACAAAACCACAGCACAGAGAGAGCTTTGTGCATCAGTTCAACTGCAGCTCGAAGATTTCAATGCTAGTTCAAAGTACTGGTCAGTTTGATTCGCTGAATAAACAAAGCGATGTTTTCTCGCAAAGTCAAAAGATTTTTTCAAAATTCATTCTTAATAAAACTCGCTTGGGTAGCCTGCCCAATGGTTATCAGGCTTTTTAGAAACTAAACAAGAACTTAAATTACACATGAGTTCCAAAACGAGCAATGGTCCTAGATACAAAAGTCATTATTCATTGAAATAGACAAAGGAGCTCATGTTGCTGGTTCTGGAAATGCAGGGTTTAATAACACCAGCAACTGAAAACCTAAAGTCTGATTTATATTTGCAGTTTTATCTAGACTCACAGAAGCAAATCTGAATTACCACTTCAAATGGAATATTAAACTACATTAGTCTCCTAAATGAATACTCATATTTGAAATAAAAAAGGCAATTTGTTTTAGTCTAAAATGAAGTAAACTAATTTGATCAACTGGATAAAGCTAAAATGAATTAAGGCGCATGTCTTCTACATTTTCGATCCTTAGTTTTTATTTAAAAATTCCTATATTCTTGAATATTCTTAAGAAATAATCCAGTCTGGATGCTAGGACAATTCCATGAATATGCAGGATGTGCTATTGCTGCAAGCATGTAGACAGCAGTTCTGTTTTTTCCTGCACAGAGCTTTATCGGATATAGTTATTTACCAACCCTGTGCTAGACAAACTCAGTGTTTAGAGTATGTAGACATTTCAAGTATGTAGATGACAGAGTTTCAAATATGTTGATGTTATTCCCGTGACTCAGGGACTCTACACTGCCAGGTCAGGTTGCAATCCCAACTAAAGGACATTTTAAAAAAATTGCTGCTGCGTGTGCAGCCCCTTCACTTGGTCTCTGAGCTCTCCCATTCTGTGTCTCCCCTCCCAGAACTTCTGGGCAGATCCTATTGTTATGAAAGCCATACATTCCCCCACAAAGACCCCACAAAGAAACAAGCAACACTTCAGTGCTTCAGATGTGACTTCAGGAATGAACCAGATTAGATCACTCTTATTTTATGCTATAGGAGTCAATAAAAACACAACAGAAGAAAAAAAAAAAAAACCCAAAGAAAAAAAATTTAAATTGATGAGGCACATGGATCAAAGAAAAGAAAATAAGTGTAGTGCTACAACATAGAAGAAAAATACAAAGTCTGTAGAAACAGTAACTCTGAAAATCAGGAATTATTTAGTCTGTTAATTGTTCCAATTCAGTTGTTGCTTCTTGTAATGAAATTAGTTATGTGGTTGGAAGCAATCATGTTTTCTGTGGAATTTTTGCTATTAGCTTAGGACTAAAAGATTAAATATAATAACTGAAAGAAGTCAGGATTGTGTGACACACCACACTTTTTAAGCTACTGCACTAGAGTTCAAAAATTTACTTAGGGGTTAATATCTGTGTGATCAATGCCAAAGTCCTTTAGCAAAGCCTCTTCTACACAGTGCAATTCAATAGTTCTAGATTCAGACACTCACTGGTCTCACCAGGAGAACTGCACTTTGTGGTGACACCACCTTTCCTACACGTTTTTCCAGCTGCACTGTCCATGTCCCCTGGTGTCCAGTACCTTTTGAGCTGCAGAGATGAATGGTTTGTGTTTGCATACCTATGGCAGCCAGGGAGGGAGGGCCTGGCCAGTGGTCAGTCTCAATCTTTGGGATCTCGTTGGGTGCTGGTGCATGAGCTGCTGGGAACTTGGAGGACTTGATGATATCCTCGGAGGACTTGCTCTGTGCTGCCATGGCAGCTGCATCTAGATGGCAATCAGGGAACTTAGCTATGTAATAATCTGGAGCGGCACAAAGCTCAGCCTAATTTCGGCAAAAATTTCATACTTTACAAGAAATTAGTTTCCAAAAGCAAACGTTTTCATGTTTTGCTTTTCCAATCGCAGCTTGAAGCAAAACAATGCCTTTCTCTTGCCAATAGATTGGAATCAAACCTTCCTCTCCTCCCGCATCCCCACCCCAAAATAACCCCAAATCAGCTTTGGATTTTACTAGGGTTTCACAGAGTAAGAATGATTCGGCAAGAGTGAGAAAATGCAGCCTAACTGTATTTGCCAATATCTCCTAAGGACAGCTGAATATTTATGAAGATGAACTCAGATTTATGTACAAATAAGTTTTCCCTCTAGGGGAAGCAAAGTAATAGATCAGAGTAAGAATACAAACTCTAACACTACTGATGCTAATTATTTCTTATTGTATCTGAGAAAAGCTGCAAAACAAAGAAGAAAAGAAACCTGAAACAAATATGTTTAACTAGAGGATTTTTTTCATGCTACATGCCCTTGCTTAGAGCATGCAGTAGTAGTAAAAGCAGGTATGAACTTATTAATAAATACTAAACTCCATTAAGGTCAACTTGGCAGGGCAAGGCACTTGCAAAACAATGAACCTCACCAACTGAGGTAAATAAAATAGCTTGGCAGTGGGGCTTCCACTTAAATTCCATTTTAAGCCAAAGCCTTGTAAAAGCATGTGAGGATGTGCATTATGGCTTTCTCTTCTTGACATTAAAAATTTAAAAATAATCTAATAGGATTCAGTGTGCATTAAACCCAACCTTCACTACCTCTGAGCTGGAAAAATGTTAGCTCAAATCACCTTTGCTTATATGAGGCTATCGTATCAGAAGCAATGGTTCTGGAATTTTCTTTCCTTTTCTCTCTTTTTTTTTTTTTTTTTTTTTTTTTTAACAGAATGACATCTTTTAACAAAGTGATGCACTGTGTTGCTCATCCAACACGTTCCAGGTAGTTAAGCAACATCAGCATTAGATATCTTTGGGAATTCTGAGCAGTTGATAATTGAAAAACTCTAAGTATAATTGCAGGCATGGAGGAAGCTGGTCAGAGTTTACAAAAGCATGACCTCAAACAGTACTTACGTATTAGAATTGGTGATGTCAGTGGTTAAACATTCACATGTTAATGGGAGGTGAGGAGATACATTAAAACCATAAAAATAAACAGAAACAATGTTAAGACTTTTTTTCAAAATGAGCATATGGTTTGAAACTTAAAAAAGAAAGAGGGGAAAACCCTTAGGTGATACCAGAGCAGTGTAATCTGCAGTTCTCACTCCTGACTACAGAATGGACTTGTGGACTTTCCTGCTCATCCCAGCTCAGTGGCTCTCAGCCAACTGTTCATCCAAACCCTGTAGTGCTGCTGATTTGCTACTTAACCCTAAATACATTTCACTGGAAAAAACACCTGCAAAGGGATGAAAATTCGGAGTTTATAAATAGTGGAGGCATCCATCTTTCACTGAGGTAAACAAAAGCCATCTCCTAAACATAGCTTGCTATTCACAGCAGAGAGGAGGAGTGAACACACTCCTTCACAATGCAGCCTTCCCCTGTGGGACTACAGACAAGGCTGAGGGCTGCTGCCATCACTGTCATTTCAGACTTGCTATGACAAAACCAACACCAAAAAGCTTACAGCACTAACACTGCTGTCCAACTCAGAACCCAGACACCTGGAAAAACGAGTACAGCAAACTACCTGAGCTGTATCACAGGGCTGAGAGTCAAATTAGCCCTGTCAGTGATAAGTCACCTATAATATCTTCACTAATTAAAGATTCTTATTTAAAGACACAGTCAAGGTACATTTGGAACTCCAGTCTGATTATAACCTCTCCATCTTCACTGTTGAAGTAAATTAATGTACTGTATCTGTTTAAAATAAGGGTATTTCATGAAGTCCCTGTCAGAGATCAGTCTACTGTTAATCCATTTTAACATGACCAGTACCTGTACTCTTAAAATATAAACTTAAAGAAGAGAAATGCTGGAAGTTATCATAATGCAAACAGCAAAATCTCAGCTAATGGCAATTTTGCCATTCATATCCACATGGCAAGATTAAACCATATTATCCAAACAAAACGACAGGCTTTAAAACATAATCATTTTCCAGGACATGCAATTACAGCCGCTTCAAGCTTGGACTACTAAAGTTTTATGCTTGCAAAGTAAAAACTGAATGCTTTTCACTAACTGCACACCTTTTAATTCAGCTGACACTCCAATTTTGAAATAAAAGAGAAAGGTCATTTACCGTGTTGTTTGTAGATGGGCGGTTTCCTGTAAATGTTGACACCTTGATCTGTGATATCAAGAAACAGAAAAAAGGGAATGTGAAAACTACTTCAGTTGTAGATAAAGACAACTCCACCACTAAAGCAATAGATAGACCATATCAAGGATGTAGCACAAGAAAAAGCCAGAAAGCTATTTCTAGTATTATACAAAATCAGATTATTTAAAGAAAACATAAGAGCAAGTGAAAAGTCAAAGACATGTGGTATGAAGTCCTTTGGAGCTGATTCTGTAACATGTGGATGCATCAACTCATGAACCATCACTTTTAAAGTGGGATAAAAGAGAAGAAATGTAAGCAGGCAAGACATTTCAATGGTGAAGACACAAGCCATTTGGGGAAAACTACCCCAAATAACTTTTGTGGAAAATTGTGCGTCAGTCAGAACAGCTCAATTTTCTTTCCAACTGACTGGCTGGATTGAGCAGAGGAGAATGCAGTGAGCCTACAATTCACTTCAAAATCCAGAGAACAAAATAGCTGCCTAGGACACTGCTTTGAACAGGCAACAACAGCCACACTTCAGTGAGTCAAAGGCATTCTTTATGCAGTGTTCACTGACACACTACTAATTCTCAAACCATAACGACAGATTTTCTTTCTTTTTTCCGTATTTTTTTTATTCAAGGTCCACCATGTTGAATATTACCTATGTAAATCAGAATAAAAACACTTCCCAGAACTCTAATGCAGTAAATCTATAGCATGTCTAAATGATACCATATTTTTCCAAATAATAATCTAAGACAGGAACCATTTTGTTCTAAACTACCTTCCCACCCCAGCCAACATTTCACGTATTCAGCACAGCTACAAATACAAAAGCTAATCCAAAATCAGCACTACAGTGCAAAAATGTGCCAAAATCTTATTAGAAGAGCAAATTGAGCTACAGGGAGCTAGAAAATTAATGTCAGAAACCCATTTTGCTACTTCATGCTGCCTGAAAAAAGTTTTCAGTTACACTAGAGTGAAAGATGAAAAGGAATTTCAGAAACACGTGTGCTGTATCACAGATCCAATTAAAGTGTTATAGGAGACAACTTTGCCTTTGGCATTAAGGGAAGTTGAACCTAAAAATCTATTGAAATAGAGGCAAATCTTAATCTGCAGAACCCTATATCCTTAAACAAGCAGGCAAACTCATTGCACACAAAGACTGTGGTATTTCATTCCTGTGTGGGATCTGTTATGGCCACTTGACCAGCAAACAGGTCTGAACACTACAAGGGTAGTCATGCAGTCCTTTGAGCACAGGGACACCAGAAAGCTCCAGGGAGGATGGGAGCACAGCTCCTTCCATGGCTGCATGGCCCCAGCTGGCAAGGAGAGCTCCCCCACCATGCTCCAGGTCATTTCTCATAGCTATTCATGCAATTAGGCTTGAGTTTAGGTGAGGCACTGAGAGCCAGGTGAGCTTAAGCGGTTAAAAGAGCCGAGCTCAGCCAAGCCAGGTCACCCTGACTGAAAGGGGGTGTGCACAAACTGTTTATCTGCCAGATTTGAGGAGAGGAGGAAGGGCAGTAACCTCTGACAGTGAGGAGGAACACTAGGCTGAAGGGAATCTGAAAATAACAAGGCTTTCAGCTATCACTGAAGCAGCCAGATGTATGTCCAAAACCTAGGGACACACAGCTCATCCCATCAAAATCCAAGACACACAGTCTTCTCAGATGCTGGAACAACTGTGGAGCTCACTTCAAAACAGACTGCCCTCTATAGAAAGGGCATCCTAAGGCACACATATCCTTGTGGATCTGCAGGTCTCTCTTAGGACATTGCACAAACAAGAAACAACCTCACCTGCTTTAACAAGAAAGGAACAGTAAACTGGAATTGTTGGGTTCAACACTGAAACAAGTCACTACATCTGAATAAACAACATATGTAATGGTTCACTGGCCACTTCTTTTCTGCCTGCATGTGAATCAAAACCAACTCCTCTAAAATTAGCAGAGCTAGGCTGGTGCTCAGCTGGTGCAACTGGGAAAAAAACCCCAAGCCCTACATAGCTCATATACAGCTCAAAGGCCCTGAAAAATTAACCATTCTAAGAGTGAAACACCTGACCAAGAGAACAGGTAAAAACCACAATAAACCCCCACATTTCTTAAGGCACTACTCCTCTCAGCAAGCCCAGAAGCAGTTCCAAACCCCGAGGGCGCAACCCATGGTGAACGGTGTGAAAGGATGGAGACAAGACAGAAGTTACAAAGGCTACATTCTACACTGTGACAGGACAGCGAGACACACACAGTGCCAGCTCCTACCTGGAACATGGAAATGTTTAGGGGCCTGAGCGTAAGTTGGAGTGAGAGGGCGACTGTCAGGCCGATAGGGGACAGGGGAGTTCCGACCGCTGGACGGCTCATTGCCTCCAATGGAAGAATGGAGAAAACAAAATGAGAAGAGGGAGAGCGATTAAAAAAAAAAGAAAAAAAAAAAAAAAGGCAAGCCCAATCAAACCCAAACAAAACTGGTGGAATCAAAACCTCCAGGGAGAAAAGGAGTTGAACCAAAAGGATAAATACAAACAATAAGGAGAGCTGGTAGTAGCCCATGTGACCTTTTTTTCCCCCTGATATTCCTGCAGAGATAAAAATTCATGTTCAGGCTGGAGTTGAGGTTTGAGAAGCTCAGACTCATTCTGACGGCATGCAGGCAGGAGCTGTGTGCTCATAGCTGGTGATTAGATGGGCAGTATAGAAAAGAAGAATGGAAGGTTACTTGGCAATGATTTTTTTAGTAGAGAGATTGATATTTGGAATTAAAAGGCACAAACACGGAGCAGAGTAGTCGATATGCAAACCCAAAGCAGATAGAAGCAGATGCTGGCAGTTACTACAGTTCACTAAACCAAAAGTGTACAGAAACCAGAAACAGAAAATAGCTGTTAGGTCACTTGGCCCATATCAAAAGGCATAACTGTTCCTCACACACTCTTTCATTGGTTTAGGAAAATTCTGATATGGCAAAATGATTTTATAAAGTAGTGCAGCCCATCAGATGGCTGCGTGCACATCGTTCACACCGCTCCAAGTCTCTGTCTATGCCAAATTTGGTTCTGATGACAATATTTCACCACTGCTGATTTAGCAAATCTGAATCTAATACCTAAAAACCTTAGCTCTAGTTTGCACACACACCAAGAAAAACCATCCACACTGGTGCTTATTTATTTCACATGGGTGGGGTGACCCCGGCAACAAAAAGTAAGAGAGCATCAAACCCCTCCCATTTTTTAAGGTATACACAAGGGCTTCAAAAACCCTAGAAATGTTGACTAAGAAAGCAGGGAAAAATGGATTGTGAAGGAGGGAATGATAACAACTGCAGAAGGGCTAAAAACACAAGGAAAAATAAATTTCAGGCCTCTTTCCTATGTCCTGTTAGAGGACCCTTAACCTTAGACTCAGCACACTATTTATCTATCTAGGGTGGAGAAATAGGTATGGGAGAAGGAAAAAAGAAGTTGCCTTTACAATTTACACAAAGAATCCTCTTCTACTTGAACAGTCATCTGCCAATCTAAAAGGCACTGAAGGAAAAAAAAAAAGTTCTTTATAAACCTTGCTGAGATATGCCCCCAGAGGCTTCAGCCAGTATACAAGTTAACCCACAGCATATGAATGTTTTTAAAAATTACATGCATAGTTCAGGGGGATTGGCTGTACAAAATTTGTCCAGAAGAATGCATGTTCAAAATTCTATATTTAGCACTTTGACATTTCAGCCCTAAATGACATGATGCTCTCTCAATCACGTGTTCAACAGTGGTTTTCTATTTCGGGTGCAGTGATGCTGAGCTTCTGGCCAGGTAACAGTAAGGGCTAGGTTTGCTAACTCTGAAAAGCAGCATGAATCATTTGTTAAATATTGTCATATCTCAATCTATGGTTCTTTACTTAGCAATTTCAATATTCTGCTCTACTTCTCCACCCTTTGAGATACAGTGATGGTGAAACACCTCACTTTATTTATGTCTCTTGGTTCTACCAAGAAATTATGACTTACTTTTCAGCAAAATCATTGTTTTCAATCTTAATATGTCTCAAGATACAGTTAGTTGTTTCTAGAGAACATGTCACTCTGCCTTTTTGCTTCCTTTAGCAATTACATTCAATGGAAGAGAAAAAACAAAAGGGATTTATTGACTTGTGGACTTGCCACAACAGAGGCCTCATAAATACATTTTACCTGTTGGGAAATGGTAGAATAATGTGTGCAGGTTCAAATTGAAATGCTTCTGTCACCAATACTACAAATACAGGCAAGAAACCCTTCTTAGACCCCTTTCTACCTCTAGACACAACTAAGTGTGCTCACACCCACAAATGTATGCTGGCTGGTCTTGCATCTGGGACACAGATAATTTGTTTAGAGAGAACTGGAAATGTTGGATAATGCACCCAGTACCAGGCAGACAATTACTGTGGTATCACCCTGCACGTGATGCTTTACAGATGTCTCTGTTGGCTTGTATTTCCTGGGGTACCTAATGACTCCTGCTAGCTGTGACAAATGACTCCCCCTTACACTTCCTAGGATGGCAGCCTCATTGCCTCCAACCTCTGCAAGAAGGAATGGCTCATCTACTTACATTCCTATTAAGCCATCCCTGAGGAACTCACTCTCATAACGAGGCTTAAGTGCTTGGGATGCAGCTGCAAAACCACCCACAATTTATAGAAGCAGTGCCAATAGAATGTGCACAGGCACAGAGGGCAGCAGAACTCCTGGCTGCCTGTACCTGTCTCCCAGGGCCTCATGGCCAGCCTGCTTGCAGCTTTACATAAAAGCCCATTAAATGTGGCTTCCTTGCCTGCACAGAAATGTCTCTTACTGTCTCAGATATGCTGTAACTACTGTTAACTCCCCAAAGCAACATGAGCACTCCAGTTCACCAACACTGTAGGAAGAACAATTCCGACACCCATGGCATGAAGTTGAATATGTCTGTGTGTAGGTGGGGGGATGTTAGGAGATAATGGAACAAGCTTAATCTAAAAATCAATCACTAGAGCACAGCAGAATGGAAATTCAGAGGCTTTTTTTTTTTTTTAATTCCCTTTGCTCCATCAGGTAGTTGTTTTCTACAGCTGAATTTGTTAGGCAGGTTGCCCTAGCAGCCAAGAATAGAATTGCTTGCCCACACACAGCCCAGTGTAATGCAGGTCCCTGCTGCTTTCTGAAGTGCTCACCACTGGGCTCACTGTGGGATTCACAAGCTCAGCTCACAGAATCAGGCCAAAAATCCCATATGCAACCAACACTGAGCCTTCTGTCAACTTGCAACTAACACTGAGCCTTCTGTCAGCTTCCAGTTTAGTTGCTCTACTTCTGAGGAGACATAGGAAAACAAGTTCAGCAGTACCTGAAACCCTTACTCCTGTTCAGGTTTTGTCAAAGTATCATTCACCTTCTCGTCCAGATGTGTAGTCTTTATTTCACATACAAAACTGAAAATCATTAAAAAGCCAATACACAACTGTCTTCCAGAGCAGAACTTTCACTTGCATCCACAAAACCCTGGAAATAGTTACCAGGTACAAAAATCCTTTCATTTCAGAGACCTGCCTCAGGGAAGGAAAGAGAGAACCTGTGAAAACCAAGGTCCAAATTCTCTGTGAAGGTGGGTAAATGCCTCATGGGAAGGTCTGTGAGCAAAGGAATACACATTACTTTGGAACTCTTTTACATGGAAATCTTATGGGGGCTTTGCAATATTCTTGAATGCCTCTGAAAAATTCTAGGCATCCAAGATGAAATCCTGGCTCTCAATGAAAGTTTTGTCTCTGATTTCAGAAGGGTCAGGGTTTCTTTCATTGGTGGACTTGTTTTGATTCTTTCATAGCAAAGACAGTAGTTTATTGAGACAAGACCAAATTCAATGGAGAGTTCAAATTAGATTATATGCAGTCTAAGCTGATGCATATTACACACTCCTCCAGCTTTTTCAACATGTATGTTACATCAACAAACTCTCACTCTGAGGAGTGTTTAGCCCCTTTCACTCCTCCTATTTCTTTAATTTTGGCTGTGTCTATGAGGCTTAATCATAATGCTTCTTTAAGCCTTATGCTGTATGAAAACACACTGGAACTCGTCTAAATGTCTTCTTTGCTGGTTTGAGTATACAAAATAACACAGGTGTAATGTGTCATATGACACTTCAGTTATCATTATTCTGCTGGGAAATCATGCCCCTTTGCCAAAGCAGTTGAGATATGATCTCAAAAAGAGAAAAACCTCAAGAGTTATAGTTATGTGAAATCTTTCTTACGAACCAACATCAAGTCCACCTTCTTGCTAAAAGTACAAGTGAGAAAGGCTGAGCCAGTAAAAAGATCACATGGTGCCTCTTTTGTCACAGTGAAAGGAATTTGAGCTTTCAGGAGCTTGGCTGAGTCATGACACATAAATGCTGTCCAGGCCTTCAGAAAATTGAGGATTCCTACAACATCTTTCAGGTCATATCTGATAAAAACCATACCCACTCCCCCTCTGTCTACAGCACTTGTAATCCCAATCGGCCTTTTCTACTAATACCTGGAAAAGATACCTGATCTACATGCCAGGTGGTTTTTGAAATCTGAAAACAATAAGCATGGATTTCCAATAGTTCTTCTCATTTATCTGCTGAAGAAACTATTTTCTCAACAGAAAAATAATGAAAATGCCACTTGAAAGAGTGTGAGCATTAATTTGGATTTACAGCAAAGAAATGTTGAAATTGCAAGGACTATGAATTAACTGCATGCTGAAATGAGCAGTATAGCTATTTTTAAGGGTCCCAATCTTTTTAAGTGATTTTTTTTTTTTTTAAATAGAGACATAGTAGAAAAGTGGACAGTGCAGATTATCAAAAGTAATCTTAAAAAAGGCAAGAATAAAATTAGTGGTGGGGATCTGAATGCTTAAAGAGCTATGATGTTGAGATCTATTGCACTTCTTGAAACTTCATGGCAACAACTTTCTTGCAACTGCTTTTGATTATCTCCAGTTTATGAATATCTACATTAATCAATGGTCCCAGATTGGAATCTATGTTCAATTTTCTCAACTTTCTCTTTTTGAGCTCTTGTAGGTGATACAAGCTATGACCTTCTCCTCCCAAACAGAAGAGATGGCCAGCCAAGTGCTCCAATAGAACTCAGAGTAAAACCATATTCACAAAAAGCAAGAAAGAAAATTAAAAGCTTATTGAGCTAAATGAGTTTCTTGAAGGCACAGAAGAATCCTCCTCCAAATCAAACCACGGAAAATGAAAGATTGAAAAAAAGACCAGATCCTCAAATAATGTAAATTCTTGCAGTGCTACTGCCTTTAACAGAGCCTGCTGATTTGTACTTGTTAAGGAGAGGCCTAGAAATTTTAATTTTACTTTGTTTGCACCTAAGTATTGCGAAAGTGAATAACAAAGATTACATTCCTTGTTGCCATTGATTTTTATATAACCTTTTTTTTTCTTCTCCATATTTTTGATCACCTTGTCCTCATTCAGGCAATACTGTAATCAATTTTTTTACTGCATGTTTTAAGAATGTGGCAGTAATAATTAAATTTGATAAACTAACTGAAGGGATTGTTGTGTACTGCTTTAGAAAGAAGCTAAATTAGGCACATACAGGTTCTGAGTAATGAATGCTTTTCTTTGTATTTCTACCAGGTAAATGCTTGGTGACTCTTCAACTAGGGCCCTTAGAAATGACATATTTCCTCCAAAAAAAAAGGACGTTATGTCTATTCTAAAAGTATTTTTGAGTGCAAGAGCACATTTCGAGGCATGCTCAGCTCCACAGCCATAGGCAGAGCGGCCTTCCCCAGCTCTGCCAGAGCACCGACACATCTCCAGGCTGGAGGGAGGTCCCTGCAGAGAGGCCTGGCTCCTTACCTTTGGCCAGGGCCATGAGGTGGTGTCGGAATGGGGAGTTGGGGCGGCTGGAGCGCGGGGCAGCCACGCGCTGCGCCCCCAGAGCCAGCAGCTCTGCGGCAGCGCCGGGACGGGGGGCAGCACAGAACGGAGACAAAGAAAAGCAATAAGAGACAGGCAGGGAAGGAGGCTTCGAAGGAAGGAGGGAGGAAAAAAAAAAAAAAAAAAAAAAAAAAAAAGGCGTTCAACAATTAGGATTCTGGAAAGAAAGAAAGAAGAAAAAAAAAAAACAACAAAAACCAAAGCGGTTAAAGACGCACCAAAGGGCCCGCAAATGTTAAGACACAATTACAGGAAGTGTTAGAAGAGAGGTTTAAACTGCATTGCTAATTCAGCATAACATCAGTGGCTTAATGAACTTCTGATCAATGCCTTGTTACCAGAAAGTAGCTCGCTACCAGCATGCAATCATCACAAACATTGACTCTCAATTAGTTAAGAAAGCAGCTGGTTTGAAAAGTGCCTGACCAAAAAATGTCAGTCAAGAGGCATGCAAGCTGTTTTCTATTGTTTTAAGACATTCCAAAAATGCTGCCAACATCAGCTAGGGCACCATGGGAGGAAAAGGCTGCAAACTTTTTCAAAACTTGTACCACTTGATTTTTGAAGAACCTTATGCTGACAACGTCAGTACAGCAGTTCACTTCTCTCTCAAGGGCTAGCTGGGAGCAAAAGAGAAGTGATCTGGGGCCACTGGGTTTATTCAGAGAGAAATTATTCTTGCAAAATAACATGGTGAAAAGAAGTGCCTTTAGGAGAAAAAAATATATATGTTTGTGCTATTATTCAGTAAATAATTACTATAGGGAAATTGTAAAAGCAGCTTTAACAATTACCCCAAAACAGGGCAGGAAACATCAAATGACAAATTGTACAGAATTACTTCTGTGTCATGTGAGGATCAGTAACAGGTGAGCCCAAGATGAGATCATTGGAACATAGATCAGTTTGAACAAATATCTCTCCAGAAAATCCTTCAGGCTGTGGAAGATTTTACACTGGATCACAACTCTGGCTTGAGCCCATCTGCCCATCACAAGAGTTAGATAAACAGAGATTGCTTCTGGGGAAGCTCTTTGACTGAACACAGACAGTAAAACTCAATTGCAGTCAAGTCTGGAACAGGGCCTGGATTTATTCATACCCCCGAGACAACAGATAAAAATGGAATAATCCCCTCAGAACTGGAGAATCAAGGGACAGAAGTTTGCAGCTTTTTCACGTTTTCAAGTTTCTTTCAGTTTCAGTTGTAACGTCATCTTAAAACACAGCCATGTTGTCAGCACGAAGTATCAGACACAATTTGCTTCTGTCCCACCTCCCTTGGGTCCCTTAAATAAGGCATTCACTCATAGACACAATTGGCTGCTTTCAGACCACCCCCACTAGGAAATGGCTACAGCATTCAAGTTCCACAGTGGTGGCTCTATTATAAATCTTTAATTTTAAAAATGCAGCTCCTATTGCATATGGGCATTTGGCATCCCAACTGTTCAGCTGTAATCACCAAAGAAGATGAAACCGTGCAATTGTAACACTTAATTTAAAAACAGATCACAAAGATTTAATTCATTACCATACACAATAAAATTAGTCTTGAAAAGTCTTCAATGAGTAGCATTTAGCAATACATTTTTATGTGGTTTGGGTGTGGATGAATAGCTTATTTTCATATCTTGCCTCTAGATACACAACCAGTAATTTTGAAGGCACTGGGAACCTGAATGACCTGTACATTTTCTGTATTGCACATAGGACTTGTACATCACTGCTAAACCAGAAAGTAAAGTTTGTGTTTTCAAGTGTTCCCAGGCAATTGCCTACATCTGTAATTAAAAAGATACCTTCAGAGTCCATGTTTTAAAAAAATACTAGTAATTTGGAACATTTGGGTGTTTTGCTTCTGAATATGAGATTCTATGGCTGCACCAAGCTTTAAAGGAATTTTTTACAAGTAAGCAATAAATTATTAACTTTTGTACAGTCAAGCCATAATTTTTGTTTCCAATATGTGATATTTTTCCCAAACTCTGGAATGAAGTTTGCGATTCACTGCTGCAAATTTTCGCTTGCTTTCAGAAACATACAAATATTTTCAACATAATTGCTTGGAAACTAAACCAGAAGATGTATATTTATGATGCAAGAAACAGCCTAGTGCAAAAGACTATGACAATCCAGAAAAAGAAAAAAGGTAGAAAATGAGACATTAAAATACACAACGATTTTCCAATCCTAAACTTCCACTTCTAAGAGAAAGAACTGCCTTCACTGCACCACTGAGTGGCATAATAAAGACACAATTTTTTTGCATGTGTTTGCAATGCAGTTGGCCTTACCAGGTCTGTGGAAGTGCTGGGGGGAGCGTGACATGGTGGGGGTGTAGCTGTGCCGACTGTACACGGGAGAGTTAATGGAGCCCTGGCTGGTAGACCTGTGAATCATGCGGTCCCGCACGTCCTGGTAGCCCTGTGGGACAGAGGCATCCACTGATAAATGTAAATGCACAAATGTAATTTTTTACAAATTACATTTTGTAATTTTACAAAATGTAAATTTTTTAGCAGCACTTAACTTCCATGGATCTGAAGGCATCAGCAGAAGCGACTGAAATAGCAACATCCCTTAAGCTTCCAACCTACTTCATTAGCACTGCTCTCCAAGGATCTGCTCCAACCCATTTTCATAGTCAGAATTCAGTCTTGGAAGGTTCCAACTCCACCTGTAATTTCTATCAAACTCGATAATAATCCTAGATTTGCCCACACTCCCTGAATCCATAAGGGAAGCTGCATCCAGAGCATGTGTGTCCTGCAGTGTCCTGCACAAGACACACGAGCTAACCTGGAGACCAGCAAGAATTCAACAGCTGCAGCACAGAGCTCTCTGTGGCTAAATTCACCATGTGTCACCAGCTACATCAGCAGATATTCATATCCAAATCAGATCCCCCATGCATATGTAAACATGACATCTTGTATAGCAAAATTCAGTTTACTTGGCTTCCTGGGGGTAAAAAAGCCAATAAAAGAAACAAACAAAAAAACCTCCAAACAAACAACACCCTCGCCCTCCCACCCGTCCATGAAACAAACTAAACCAGTACAAAAGGGAAAGGACTGATAAATGCATGATGATTCACAAGAAATTTTATAATCCCTTAATTTTTAACTAGTAGCAATAAATACAACTTTTCTGTTGCAAATAAGCAACAGAATAATGCAATGGCAATGATTCTGCAAGAGCATCTATTGTATCCTGACAAATGACTTCCCAAATGTTTCACGTTATTATGATGTTCAAATTAACTCCTCTGGCAAAGCAAAACCAAACCAGACCATAGTTATGTTTTCTTCAAGACAAAACTGCAAATGTTTCAGTAGCAAACATGGGTTAATATTTAGATGCTTAGAGCAGATTTTATCTCCTGTAAATCCTGCAGCTCTCGAGATCTGAATCCGCCTGTGCCACAAGGAGCAGGAATGTACCAGAAGTGACGCCTGCTGGACAAAGGGCTCTGCTTTACACACAGCAAGTGGGAGGAGTGGCAGCTCCATTTTTTGTACAATCTCTCAATAAGAGCTTCACGTTTCTTTCCTAGGGATAATTTTTGTTAAGTTTCAACATTGAGAAAACATGCCTGTATGGCAGAGATAGATCTGACTGACAACAAAACCAACTCCTGCACTGGCTTGAGGGAACAATTCTAATCACAGTAGGACACTGCCCCCAAAGGTTCCACCAACTTACTTCTGCAGAAGGGGTAGGTGATAATGTCCTTGGAGACTGCAAAGACATAAAAAATAAGGTTATGAAATATCATTGCTTATGCTGGGCCAGAAAATGATAATCTAAACATTGCTGCAGATACTCTGACATATGACAATGTAAAGTGGCAATGCAGAAATTACTGAGGCTATTCCAGCACTGGAACCTGCTTTTTCCACGTGGCTCAGGGACTGGTCCATAAATCATTGATGTTTAAAGTTTCTGGGAGAATCTTTATAAGCGTGATTAACTCAGTCAAGTATCATGCAAGATCATCTTAGCCTTCTAATCATTGTGGTAATTAAAACATAGCTGTAAAGATCAAAATCAGATAGGATTATTAATTTAATAACCATGCCTGTCATGAAGAAATCTTTAAAGTGGAAATCAAAAGCAAATAAACTTAACTCAGAGTTTTGCATGGAAAATCAAAATACAGAATATCTTTCAGGATGAAGCATGTTTTCCCTCCATCCAACGCATACACTCTGGCAAAAATGCACTTCTCCCCAAGGCCTTACATTTCATACCCATGCAGAGGAGCACGTAGTTGTCATCAACATTTCTTTGATATGACCTCCTTTAAATCTCTGTGTTCCTCCATGGTTACGTAAGGAGAACAGACAGGAATTACAAGCATGTGTATTGAAAGAGCTGCACAAAGGCCAGTGGGCAGAAATATGTACAATATTATGAAAAATTTCTGTAACATAGACAGGGAAACTGAGGCAAGAAATATCTTTAGAAGAAACACATGATTATGATTATGCATATGCTGATGGTACAAACATGAATAAAGGCTATGTGTAATTACCAGTTATGTGCTCTTCAACCACCAGACAATTTGAAGCTGGGAGATCAGGATTTAATTATTTCATTTGTGCACAAAACTTCAATATTATTTGTCATAATAAAATGAGCAAGAGATTATTCTTTTAAATAGGACCACAATTACAGAATTACATAGCTATTAAGACAATATCTCAGAAGCAAAACTGCTGATTCTGGTCCAACTACTACACAAATGTACAACAGCAGTAGTGTAAAATGTATGCAGAGTTTCTGGTAATAAATATCCAGCTGGTAAATATCCATAAATTTTGGATTGAGAGACCATTCACTCTCATGGAGCTGGTGACACTGGGAACACTAAGTATCCAAACAAAGGAGCAACACTTTTTATTGGATAAAAGACATCTCCTTTTTAGCAAGTTTCCATAAAGCTGTTAAAGACTGCTTTTGCTACTTTCCACCAAAGCCTTGAAAGTCTTTTACATTCTTATTTTCCTAATTCCAAACATCTAACAGCAGCAGCTGTAAAAACCTTGCTCCACATGTAACATTCCACACACAGTGCTTTGGAACAACATTCTCTACAAAAACTGAGAGCTAACCTAAAACTTCCAATATGAATGAAAAAAGCACGTGTTGTGAGGTGCATTCCCACATTTTTCTACTCGCAATTCACGTGTTACTCTAAATAAATGAATTTCTATCATCTGCTGGGGTTACCTGGATGCTGAGGTAATGGCTACAGTAAAAGGTAGTCACAGGAATCTAAAACTGGGAAGCCAGCCCAGAAAGTAGCATGCTGGATCCAGGTATTTTTCCTTTCATGTATTTTCACTCCATCACTAGCTGACATCATCTCATTGCTTTTTGGGACATGGAACCTCACTCTGCAGCCAAGTTACTGTTTTATCATGCACAGGTGAACTGCCAGATCTCAAACTCTGAGGCTGCCAAGGAATGTTTGTTTCTCCATCTTTCAAAACCTGGTCTATCACAGAAGGCCACGCTATGATCAGTTTGAAATGCACTGTGCAGCTGAGTGAGTAAATCAGCTCCATTCCAGAACAGAAAACCAGTGCAAATAGAGTGAGGACTCCAGATGAGGAAGGGGAAAAGGAAGAGGGAAAGGGAAGAGGTAGAGAAAAGGGAAGGGGAAATGGAAGGGGGAAGGGGAAAGAGGAAGGGGAAGATGGCTCATTCTGACCAAACATATGTAAAAATTTCTACTGCAACAGGCTCAATTCTCTATTGCTCTGAGATCTGAGAGTCTGCTCTAATACCTGAAATCACACAGGTCATTTTGTCGTCTGGGAAATTTCTGCTAATTTTTACAGGTGTCATTCTGCAACACAAGTTCCAGCATTTCACACTGATGCCATTTTAACTTTGTCTTTTAACTGAACTGCCAGGTGGGATTCCTGCTTCATTTTGAAGCATCTATCATGTTAGAAAAAAAAAATAAATATTTTTTTAATTTTATGTCTTCTTGTTTAGTGAAAAGTTTTTTAGAGCATTTAGTGCTTTCAACAAACAGAATACTTGAAATAAAGGACATAAAATGCTGCTTCTCACTATGCACCCAGCTCAAGTTGCAGGTGGGCTCAGCGCTCATCAGACTTGCAAGGCAGAAGTGACAGGTCCTGAAGAACCTGAGTACCTGGCAGTTTCTGGACACTTTCTCAGCCGGCAGCAGACAATTAATTTCGGATCTCGTTAGTTTCTAATGAATTTCGGGTCTCGGCAGGCTGGGACAGCCCGGGCTCCCCGCGAGAGGGCGCCGGGACCGCGCGGGACGGAGCGGGCACTGGGCTGGATCCCTTTCTTTGCTGAGAATAGGGATTTTCTTCTCTTTTTACATCACGGTGAGGGGCATTTCTAGTCTACAAGCATAAACTGAGGTCCCCCTTTTATTTAACACCACCACATACACACCCTTTGCAAAGAGAATGCGGGATAAATCACTGTCTGCACGACTAAACGTGCCACCTCCTCTGCTCTTTAAAGGTGATGGGGACTGATGGATGCTGTACCAAGATTGCTGTCACTCGATTACCACAACACAGACACAGGGTAAGGGATCACTCCACCCCAATGGGCTTGTGTTCTCATTAGGGCAAGGGAAGGGACGAGAAACAGATACAAAGAGGTGAGGTAACTTGCCCAAGGTGACAGAAGTCAGCAGCAGCATTGGGTGAAAACCCGAGATCTTCTGAAAAGAAGGTGAGAGCACCTTCTGATTCCAGAACAAATTTCTGTAGTCACTAGAAATTAACTGAATTTAATGCTGGTGAAAATACAGTATAAGAAAACCTCGAAGGCTTTTGCTTATTCCCAGAACAAGCATAAAAGCAGACAACTTGCACCACATTGCTTTATCAGCTTCCAATGTATTGCTTTGTCAGTAAGAAGCTTCCCTTTAAGGATTAACATACAGTTCACCTCCTCTGGTGAGATTAGTTCCCCCTGTGTGACTAACAAGAGAAATGTGTTTGTTGCAGATTTTGTGGAATGGGTCAGGCCTGTTGGAACTGGTCAGAGGTCACCAATGCATCTCACAGTGGTTTTCAACCAGATACCAGCTGGATTCACTGCCTACATAAAGTGGAGGGGAGAAATTCTGTAATGTTCTGACCTGTTAATCTCTTATTTTATTCCTGAGCTGAGTTCCCAATTCATGATTTAAAAAACTATCTCTATAAAACATTGAAGAACAAAGGAGAAAAACTGATGCAGTTCTGACCTGCTGGTGGGCAGAACACTGATAAGAAAGCAGATTATCAGTCAGACTGATCTGATCATCTACAGACCACTGGTGCCTGAAAGAATTACAATAAATCATTCTTCTTCAATTTATCTTCACACTCAGTTCAGTTACAGTCAGTAAGGTCACTGAAATTGCAGTGGTAAATCCATTTCCACGTCCATTTAGATTTGCATTCAGGAAGTCTGATTCACAGACAGATGGCATTACATGACATAACCTGCTTCCCAGACTGCACTGGAATCATGTAAATAGTAACTGCAGCTATGGAAATTCACCTGAGAAAACTGGGGACCAACAGTCTGAACGATACCTTCACATACAAATGTAGAAGAATAAATGACATAGCTTTTTCTTATTGCTGAATGATACAAGAATCCTTACTAAACATCAGCGGGTTAAAATGTGAGGCAGGTATTTGTATAACAATTAATTTGCTTTCCCAGGTGGAAGAACACTTCATCCTGGCACAGTTTTATCCTGTATGTCTGGCAAAGTGCTCTGGTGATAAATATTTCCCTTCAGTATCTGTGAGATAAGTATCCTGCTGCTCCTAGTCCATACAATATCAGGGTATTCCTCCTATTCTCTTGTGAATATTGGTGCTTTTGCCTCACGTTCTGGACCTTGCCATTCCCAAAGATTAGGATACCCATGGGAGCTATGAGGAAACACACGGAGACAGCCTGCAAACCTGCCCCCTGTGTTAATGTAGGTGTCTAAACCTCAAGTTTCACATGTGAGGCAGCACGGTGAGTGTTCCCAGTACCCGCAGATGAGACAGACACAAAGCAGTGTGAACAGCAGCAGAACAAGCTCCAGGAGTGCCAATGGGAAGCGAAGCAGGCTCTGGATGCAGTGCACAGGGAAGGAGGTGCTGGTGGGTCATTACCTCTCCAAGACTCTGTCTCTCCTGTCTGTCCTCGTAGGCGGAGGTGTAGAATGGCTCATAAGTAATTAGGTCTGGACGTTCAATGTCATAAATGGCCTTGACTTTGGGAATGGCTGCTAAATCCTTGTAATCAAGGATTTCATTGTCTACTTTTGCCTAAAGGTCAAAGACAGAAGATAAATTAACTTACACAAATGCACTGGCAATTTCTGTTTTACACAATTTATGATTTTGTGTATTTGTTGTCACACTGTTGCTATGGAAAACCCCTTTTGGCACCCTAAATATGTGGAGTGAATGCTTCTTGTTCTTCTCCAGCAGGCCTCCTCTGCAGCAGCTCACAGTGTTTTTTCTTCTCTTAGGGAAGAAAGACATGGCATATATAGATCTAGTTACAGAAGTTTTTTTATCCCCAGTAGTGAGCTGGAAACTTCAGCTCTGCAAATGACTCATTTTGTGGCCTCAGGCAAGTATTTTCACCTTTCTGCTCTTGTTTTCCCATATGTAAAATGGGTGATAACATCAATTTAGTTTGCAGATTACAGAGATTACAAAAGGATTTCATGCTGAAGACCACAGACAGATACTCAATTTATAACTGGGCACACAAGAGGAAACAGAACTTATTGGAAGGAAATAAAAAGACAATGAGGACTGTCAGGACTGGGTATCCAAACTCCCAAATAAAATAATTACATCACTCATCCTATGCCCAAACTTCTGACTAAAGCATCCACTCCTCACCAAATACAAGGTGCAAGCATGAACTATTTTTCCCACTACGACTGCAAGGAAATCTTGACTAGTTAAAAAATAGAAGTAGGAAATAAATTCCAAAGTCAGCTGCACCCATTAGAGGGAGATAGAAAGAGGCCTTACATTTAGTTTAGATAACTAATATCTTTCTTTACTTACAGAAAGACTTTCAATAAATCATCACACATTTTTACCTACCTTATGGAGATACATTGATGACTAAAACTGAAAGAGGATATTCAAATTGTTTTTCAACACTTCTACAAGATACTTTATTCATAGTGGATTGCATAAGGAAACACTCAGATCTGTTCTTCCTGAGGGCTAGCACCTAGTAATTTCAGATTAATATCAATTTGCCTCTTTAACAACCACTGGTCTTGGTGGTTCTTAAGCAATGCCTTAAACTAGAAACAATACAAAACCTTTCTTGCTAAAAAAGCAAGGCTTGAAATATTTTGGATATTCACTTGTTACAAATAGATTCAAAACTGTTAAGCCTTTAATTACCAGATATAAAAAAATACCTTAAGCCATTTTAATCCTAAAAATATTTAGGTATATCAATATATGTTATTTCTGTAGTAGTTTTACCAGTTTGTTAATGAGGTGCAAATATGTCTGGATACTCTTAATCCAATATAAATTATTACAGATATTTTTGTAGACCCTGATCTAGGCCGCCATGTTGCTTTGCAGATAGTGATTTTGAAGAGCAATTAATTTTCATAAACTATAGTTTATGAAGCTGATATTACCCACAGAACGGCAGTTCTCCAGGGCATGCTTTGTCTTTTGATATCTGCAGTGTCAACACTTTTCATGTATCACCTTGTTTTTGTGGTTGTTGAAATGCATAGAACTAGAGTTTAACTCAGGACATGAGATTTGTAATTTTGGACATTTTTTCTGCCTCATTATAAATGTAACTGTCAGATTTCTGTGGATTACTCTACATTTTCATCTATATAATCTCATGGTTATTGATAAAATCAGTGGTTTAGCATTATGCTTAATAACTTTTTTTCCTAAATTAAACACACTTTTCCTTTCACAACCAAAAAATCTGATTTCTGACTTGGAAAGTATTGGATCAGCCAGGCTTCTTTCAGTGTAGCTGACCCTGCTCCTCACATTCCCCAAGTGCAGAGAGCAGACCTCTCAAAAACTGTGTATCAATGTGCACAGATCTCCTCACAAAATCCTTACAAAGTCAAATGACCCTTCTGCCCTCTGTCCCTCATCACACCACCAAGTGACATCAAAAGATTTACTGTACCTTTCCAAGAGAAATGTGACCTGGAAAAAGCCTGTCCTGCTCTGGAAATCCTGTAGCTATGAAAGCTACATGGGGAAGCTTTTAACAATTTAAGCACTAAAATAAAGCATCAGTCTCAAAGTGATTTATTTCAGCATGAGTAGTTCATGTGCAAGCCAAGGCTCTGCAGCTTATTCTTCAGAAGGAATACTTACATAGATAGTGTGGCCTGGAGAGCCAGGTATACTGGAACCTGGTCTGGAGTAAATGCTTTCTGATGATGTTCTTGTAGGCTGAAAAACAAAAGGGAACTTTTGAGAGCAATCTGAAACCATTAACATTGGCAATTTTAAGTGAAGAAATCTGCATACATCTTGAAAATAACTGAATTTAGGGAAAAATGTCAACACAAATGCAAGCATTCTGGCAAATTCCACAATCTTGTGAGGCAAGTGGGCTTTTTGTTTGTTTTTTTTTTTTTTTTTAATAGGGGAAGGAGTGGTGTGAGAGGGGAAGAGGTTTTCTAAATCATACCGTGTAAAAGATTAGACTGACAACAATAATGAACAAAATCAAACAACACCTGCCAGAGACACTGTAGGAGCCATACAAAGAACCATCCAGGATAGTCCTGCTGGTCCTTTTAGCAACACGTTAGTTCACAAACCACTGCAGGGATCAGCAGTCCAGCAGACAAAACTGTTGTGAGGAGCACAGCACACATGTTATCTCTTCCCAGGTGCTCAATCCCTGGATTTCCATTAGGAATGAAATCATCAGAACTGAATTCAGCCTTTGTAAGTAAAAGGACCTGAAATCCTTTGCTTGGAGCTGTTCCCTACATCTGCAGCACAACAAAGATGCAGCAGGGAAGTCAAATGTTGCTTGCAATGTCATGATTCCCCATACTGCAAAAGTCATGATGTTTAATGACAAAGTCCTGCAAACTGAAACTCATGAGAACGTTCTCATCCCTATAGAGCCAGTGCTGCTGCATTTTGTAGATTTTCCAACACTTTTTCAGGACTAAACTGACACTGGTGCCCTGAGGGAAGTTCTGTGAGAAGAGACAAAACAATGATGACCAACATGTGGGGATCCTGAAAAACACCTGATGCATTTGAAAAGTATTCTATTTGCTCAAAAGTCACTCTGGTGGTTATTGTGATGATTACTCCTAAACTTGGCATGCAGCAGATACACAAAGGTAGTCAAGCATATCCCAACTGCAACTGAGAAACCATGAACAATTTTTGCTCCCTAATTGACTGCAAAGAACCAAATCCCATCACAAAACTTCGTGTCAACACATGACTCTGATGACACCAGCACAGTGGGATACTTCAAAATCACTTAAAATTAAATCCTGGGAAACAGTCCTTACCTCATCATCTTGTGATGTTAGGTCCCCTGGACTAAGGGACCTTCAGGCACACCTAAAGAGAAACAAGGCTTGACAGCCTGGCTCACTTTTTCTTAGGAAATACTGGAATGAACACAAAAGGCTACTGGACCTATCTTTCACCATACACTTCCTGAAGGAACCCTTCAATTGACCCCAGAGACTTTGTGCTTTTAGTTTCAAAGCCAGAGAAGCTATTGGAACCATCTGTATATAAAATGCTGAAGACTAGTCATGGATTGTACAGCAGGCTTTTTCTGACTTCACTTTTGAAAATGAAGTCACCACGTTCAGGGAGGGAGAAACAAAAGGCTTTGAATATGTTCCACCAAAAAACGTAAGATTCAGATCAAACAGAGAGCAGATGTAGCTGTGGACTGACACAGTCACAAATTCTCTCCAGAGCATGTTTGAGAACACTTTCTCCGCTGGACCTTTACATATTTCTTTTCTCTCTGTAGCTGCAAATTCCTACATCTCAAAAGGGAACAGAAATTTCTCATCTGCCCTTAAGCTCCTCACAAACCAAAAATCCCAACAATAAGCACTTGTTTCATGGAACTGTTACAAGAATTGAGCTGGAAAATCTGGCTGCTGTTGAGAAACACTTTATTCCCCCTTCCATTCTTCCATTTCACTCTGTTTGAGTGGAGACACATGTAACATCTTGCTGCAGTTACTATGGAAAACAATTGTTTTCATTACAACATAGGGAACAGTATTAAGTACTTGAGGTACTTTTAGGGGTGTCTCTGTTACCTTTGGCTTTTGGCAGACATACTTTGAAAGTTTTGTCTGCTCAATTTTCCCTGTTGTAGGAAAACAAGTGTGAGAGGCAGTTATGGCTTATTCCCATTTGGCAAGCCCTTTGGAGCTTTTATAATTGCCTCAGAAAACAAGAACTGCTCAGTCCTCACTCCAGCTCCTTAATTTCATCTCTTAGTGTCACAGCTAAAAACCTTTTTGTTTAAGGAAAATTCACTTGCATTTATCACTTCAGTGATAAATACTAAATAAATTTAATTACTAAATAAATTTAGACACCTTAAGAAGATAGTTTCAGCCATATCCTGCTAATAATTTTAAGTGCTCTTAACCCTGGAGTACAAGAGGAATTGTCAGATGGACTGGCAAGTTGTAGCACCTGTTCTTCATTTCCTCACTGTGTTTCTGTTCCAAGTTCCTCTTCACCATCCCATTAACAAGGCCACAAGCCAGATATGACACCCTTTAAACCAGTTTTCTATTTTCTATGGTTCTTTCTGTGTACATCGATTTTACCTTCTGCCTATAGCAAAGCTCCCCACTGCTGGGCAGGATGCCAGCCACGGCCTGAGCACACTCTGCTCCTTCCCTGAGGAGCTGAATCCAAGCAGATCTGCAGCTCTGAGGCTCCTCTAGCAGCTCCCAGTCCTGTACCTTGCTTATGGCTAAACCCTTGAAGACAGTGCATGAAAAAGGACTTGTACATCTACTCTCACCCTTCCTGCCTTACTTTGCCCTATTTCTTATTTTGAGTTACACAGGCTGTTTCCATCACAGATGGCTCTTTCCCACCCTGCTTCTTCCCATATGGTCTGGAATCCTTCACAGCTTTGCATTTCCCCTAAAGACAATTGCATTGCACTTAAAAACGTTTATGCTGCTGGCTTTAACAAACATACACCAAAGATTCCTTGATCTAAGCTGTTCCTCTGGCATACTTTCAGTTGCAATGGTTGGCTCCTCTCCTAGGAGGCCCATAAAAGCTCCTGTTTGAAAATCTGTGACCTGGGATGGCTTTTATTAGACTGAACGTTACACTTTCATTCCTGACCCTGTGTAAAACCATTGTGTCTCCTCTATATCTTACACAGGTGGCAAGAGACACACTGGAGGTCAAGTTCTCTATTGATGTAACTGCACTGGGGTGTAAATTCCATCTTAGAGGGGAGCTGATCAGAGCACAGCTAAAAGAGGAACAGGGCTGGCCCTGATGTAACCTTTAACTTTGGAGATGTGGAGATAACACGAGCGCATCTCTTCCACACATTATTCAAAGAAAACAGGTGAAGAAAGAGGACACAATCTTTAATATGAGTGCAATAATTTAGAGGTATTTACTTCTATCAGAATAGTTCTGTGACACTTGTTCTACACTCCCTGCAACAAAACAAATTAAGCCGCCTTACAAAGAGATCAGAACCATTTTTATATGATGGCTCTTTTCCTTGAAGGATTCAAATACAGCTTTTTATAAAGCCACCTTTGTGTAGAGAAATTTAAAGGAAGAGCTAATCTTTTTTTCTTTTCTGGTGGCTTCTCCACATTTTCTGAGAGTAGGAGAGTCATCGCTTTTTTCCTTTCCTCTTCCACGCAAATGGATGTAACAGTAGTAAATATATCAAAATAGGATGTCTGTACCAAATACAGAAAGTCTATGAAGTATATGAAAAAAAAATCAATAGAAATTCAGTCAAGAAAAATTCATGCATGTCATTAAAGGAGCCAAAGGAAAAAACAGATCACAAAGCATCTAAAAGTATTTGCAAGACTTCTCAGTATTTACGACTTTATCACAGACTTGTTATTTTTATGTTTTTGTTCTTCATTCCATGCATTTACCTTCAACACAAAAGTTCTTTACCAGTTTCATTTGCAGATTGATAGAGATAACATCAACTGTCATGCTCATCCTCTAAGGTTCATTGTGAATTGAGTGCTCAGTTATCAAATCACCCATGCAGATGCCCCAAACTGATTAACTTGATATTTCAGTATTAGACTACGAAGCTTAAGATGTTCATCTGCATTTACCCCTGTTTGTCATGTCACCATGCATGCTACATCATCTAAATAAATAATTTCTTTAAAAAAAATCCCCGCTAGAGCCATTCACATCATCCAGTGCTGCTACAATGTGGTGGCTCTGGCATTCTCAAGTACAGATGTTCAGCATCATGCTCTGTAAAACTTACAGGTGCAGGCAACCAGATCAAAACTGATCCCAAGAACATCTGGCCAAATGGATGCACTATCGTTTTACAAAGGCATCGTCACCATTTACAGTACCTGCCTTAATTTTTTGATAGAGTTCATTATGCAAGGCGGTGATAATAGCTGCAGAAGAATGAATATGTTTTCACTTAATAACATTTAACATTATAGCTTAAGCAAATCCTCTAAACCTCAGAAGCTACTTTAAGTAAAGCATATTTATAAATAACCTAACAGAAGATTAGGATGGAATTTCTTCTACTGGGTAGACTTAGCAACAGTAAGGGATTTGACTTTCTCAGTACAACACTTAATACTGACTACCTGATCTATCAATTGCAAGGTTTTACAGCTGATTAGGATTTGGAACCAGGGCTCATAAAATATGGATTTCCTATAGATTTCTGTAATTTTCAATGGTTGTACTAGACCAACAAAGTCCCTCAACATCAGCATTCTTTGTGCCTCTCTGCTGGTTTAACTGTACCCTCCTCATTACAAGAGTGTTTCCTTCAAATGCATGCATCCTTATTTCTCTGCACTAAATATGCATCAAGACAAAACTAGTGAACAGGCTTAGTTCAAACTCACACAGTCACAGGTATTAGTAGATATTAAATTTTCTTTCCTTTCTGGACACAAAGGCCAGAAGGGAGAATGAATTTTCAGCACATAATCACTGAAGGTATGTTGGTACCAAACAAACTTCTACAATACTACTCATGCAGACAGCCTTCATCAAGAGTAAATGGGAAGAACAAGAAAATAAAGTGCGAAGTCCAGAATATACTGAAATCAACACAAACTTTCAGAGAATTCAGAGGATTTCACCCTACCAGTTTCTAACTGCAATTTTCATGTAGATTCAAGCTTTTGGCCCACTTTTACAGCAACAGCAATGACAGTACCTTTGTGTCTGTAGAAAGGTACTCTGCAGAAAAAGACTTGAAGCCAAAATCTGCTGAGTTACATTTTGTAGAATCACCATGTAAATCTAAACAGAATTTAATACTGACCAAATTTGCACAAGAGGATATTAGTCTGCAAGCTAAGTATCCTACACATCCCTGAGCTATTTGTATCCTACACAGTCCAGTCTATAAAGCAAGAACAAGAACATACCTTTATTTTAACATGGGCTGTTCCTATTTTGCCTTGCATATTTTTCTAATACATTGAATAGGATTTGGCTTTTTAATCCTGAGGCTCCTGGATTTCAACACTGGAAACTCAGACTCGTGCATGCTGAGCCAAATGCAAGAAGTCACTACACTGGCCTAAAAGACGAGTGAAATGGTCCCACAGTTTGCTGTTCTCAGACTCCAAGATTTTATTCCATAAAGGTTAGGACTGAAGAGACACTGCTCTCCTTAGGAGCACTAATCTTTATGGTGCATTTTCTTGATACACAGATCTGTAGCTAACAGAGAGAGAGATGTTCAATAGTAGTTAAGTAACTAAACCACTGTGCAGGATAATGGGTAGAGGGCTTGCATCAATCCCCACTGAATCACAGAATTGGATTCCACTGTCCAACCCCATCCTGCAGGCTGGATCTCACACAGACACCCTGCCCTGGCTGACATTTGACTGCATCTACTCTGCAATGAGATTTGAAGGCTGCACAAACCAACACCAAGGAAATCCAGTGGCACAGACACTCAGCCTGTACCAGGTCCACACCACCAGTGTGCTCTGACTTCATCACCAGGTGAAAACTACCCCAGGTGCACCTGCATCAGCACAGCCACACATCCCACAGCAGAGACAACCAACAAATAAACACTGCCCTGAAGGAGAAGAAATGGAATTGGGTGCTGTTTGTAGGTGCAAAGCAAACTCAGTAAAATCTGAAAGTAGAAAGCTACTCCAGAGTCAAGAGGACAGAGAGGACCTTGCAACTCAGATGTGGATGTGCACTAGACTAGAGAGGCAAATGCTCTCAGGTAGCACATAGAATATATCCAAACCTGGGATTTTGCAAGCATTTTTTCAACTAAAGTATTCATGAGTAGTTGGTCAATACATATTAAAAAAGGAAGTGACTTAACTGATGTTTTTCTTTTTTTCCTAAAAACATAAGTCATTGTTCATGGAAAACTATTTCTTTTTAACCATCGCTTTAAAGTCAGATATTTTTCACCATTTTCATTTGCTTCATATTTGCACTCTACTTTTTTGTTCCAGAAGGAAAACTTTCTGGAATACTGGAAGACCAATACCACAGCCCCCAAAAGCTCATCTGAATCTAAAATAAAAAAGTTAATTCTAAGCATTTCATTAAACAAAATAAAAAAAATGTGAGAATTAACAAGCAACACTGAAACAAGTGATGCAAAACACAGCGTCAGTGCCCATGGTGGCAAGTGATAGCAGGAAAGCTGTGTGGCAGGAGTAGTAGCAAGCGCAGCAAATGACAGTAATGAAGAATCTTCTCAGTAAAGAAGATCATTATCAACACTATGAAAACACAACAGCAAACCTCTGCAGAGCGTGGCCTGCGCAGAACCAGACTCTTTGGATAAAAGAACTCAGATGAGGAATGCTGTCATGAAACACAAAAGGGAAAAATGAGTGAAAAGGAAAGCAGTTTCCCCAGTTCAGTGGTTAAGCTCTTTTTTCAATCAAGTTATTATCATTTGTTTGTGTTATAATATCTGTTACTTACTGACTGCTGCAGAATCATGAACAGCCAGACAGTCGTAAATCAACACCTAAACAATATATGTTTTTGTCACACGCATATGGTTGCTTTGTTTTCTGTTTATTTTGTCTTTGTAAACTTCCACAAATATCAGTGGGGAAAAGATCTAAAGCAACCATTGCTTTTATGAACTCCCTCTCAGATCTTGACCAGCTCAAATGCTGATTAGTTTATATCACAATTCAGTTACTGAGAGAAAACAGAACTTGCTGAAAACTTCTGAAGTTACTTCAGTGATAAAAGGGTTTTTGTTTTGTTTTGTTCTATAGGGAAAGGAAACCCAGCAAGCAAATAGGCAATGGCACTGGCTTTTTGCAGAACCACCATCTAGACCTGACCCTGAACAAAAAACTGAAATTCAATCAAAGTACAGATCCCAATTTAGTGCTTACATGCTCAAATAGCACATAGTTCCCTCCGTTTTGTTTGTTTCTGTACCTACCTGTTTGCTACTGCCTTCCTTTAGGTCAACAGGATGAAGCATGTATCAAAGTCATCAAAGTGAACTCCAGCTGATTTTAGAATAAGGAGCCTGACTTTGCACCAGAGTAGACAGAGACTATCTGTGATGTACCATAGAAGCTAAAAACAGCATCTCTCAGCCAGCTCCAGTATGGTGCCCTTATCAATGCCTTTTAATGCCTTTTAGGGACCTATTAAACCTCTGCATAGAAGGTCTCCTCCAGGAGCATGGTGCTGCTGGACAGCTGTGCTGTCACACTGCTCAGATGCTCCCTCAATTTGCCTTCTTCAGCTTCACTTCCTCTTCCTGCATGAACTCACTCACTTAGGCAATGCCTTGCAGGTGAGTGAATCCATTTACTTCTCCCACTTCAATTAAAATTAGCTGAGGGGGGAGAATACTGACAGAAAGAGAAATACTTGAAGAGGACTACAGCCATTTCCTTGGGGAATGGAAATAAGACAACTGATTTACAAGGTCAGCTGGAGAAAGCTAATAAGGGCCACAGTGTAGTCAGGAGTGCTTTGATAAAACTCCGGGGTTCAAGTGAAAGGGAGTTATTGTACTGCAACCAAGTACTACAAGGCAAAAACATTCTGACACTTAAGCATGGCCAAAATACTGTCTTACATTCAAAGTGTTAAATGAGGAAGAAAATCCAGTCTGGCATAACTTTCCATTTTCTTACAAAAAAAGTCAGGACAGAACAATGTGTGAATGCTAGATGGTGCCTGCACTGAGGTTTGGCCATTCTAGACCACATGCTCATCTAGGGCCAGCTATGTTTCCACCCACACTAACATGAACTCTGCTGAACAGGAATTTATCTGCACATTACCTATAACCATAATAAATTCTCTGTGGGGGATGTTTTACAGACCAGTGTACTGGAATAAATGCTAAAGGATGTGACTTCCTGTCAATGAGACTCACAAAGAATACAATCTGCAGGATGTCATAATTATCTTCATATCAGTACCTCTTAGTTTCCTTATCTGAAAGACAATTTATTTGTATGCAGCCTCTAATATTCATATCCTGGCAAATTAGCAAAATTCAAGGGACCAACTGAGACATCAAAAAGATAAAATTTTCCAGAGCATGAATCTGTGAATAAGGGCTTAGAATTGCCTGGTTCATGCAAAAAGCCAGGCTCTAGCATTTATCAGTGCAGCATTATTGTCACTGAGGATTTGACCCAGAAAGTTTGCTTGAATATGCTGATGTAACTCCAAGGATTACTGTGGCTCTTTTTGGCATTCAAATCAGGATCACTTTAGGTTGAGGCTTACTTGGATGGCAAAGAGAAAGAAGAGTTCATCTTGTCTAAATGCTACAAATAACCATGCAGAACAGGGGATAACTATAGAGCAATTACACAGATGTGCAAAACCACTAAAATATATGATAGCATTTGCCCTGCTCATATCTTCTCCTTAAGAGTCTCTCTCACAACAATTGAGATATGAAATGAAGTGTCTTAGATACTTGGCCACGTCTGTATGTCAGTAAATGACACTATCTTTAAGGCAGTGCACTGAGACAGGTATGTGAGGGTGGTAAGCCTAAAAATCAGAGCAATACCTCTGAAGTGCCTCCACTGTATATTCTGCCAGAGTTGTGACAGCTATGCGAAAAAAACATGGAAAAAGTCACTCTTTTAAAAACAACATTCAATTATTGTGTGTGCAAAATGTATGGTGTGTCATTGAGCCGTGAATTCAGCTTACCCGGAGCTTCTCTTCAGTCTTAGTGGATTGCTTACAGTCGGGATGCCAGACAGTGGAACCTGAGGGAGGAGAAACACATCTTTATTCAAAGCAAAGCAGATGACTTCTGCTCATGACAAGCCAGTTATTAAAGAGAATGTCTTCATTGCATCAGATGCTGAATCTGTATGAACTATGAGAGTAATTCACATTAAAGTACAACTCATGGGAAATACAAGGGAAACAAAAAAATATTCAAATCCTTGGCGTATCTACAGCAGCTTTGTCCTGAGGCTGCCAAAGCACTTTGCACACATCCTTAATTAAAACTCAAGCAGCCTCAAGCAGCAAGAGAGTCAGTGAGCACCAGCTGGAGGAATTGAGAGAGAGAGGGTTCCTCTGGCTGGATGGAGGTAAGAGCAAAAGAGTTGGGGCATGGTTACCTGATCTGTTCTCCCCTTATGTACTGTCCTGCACATAAAAAGGAAGCTCTGATTGTAAGTCCATTGAATAGGTGTCATACTCAATTATTGTAAAGTACTACTCAGATCACATCTTCCCTCATGCAAAATGGAAAAGGAAAAGCAAAATTTAGAAATTCATAGTGCAAGAACCAGTGCTGTGTGTGACCCACTGGCAGGGGCTGAGAGGCCAGGATGGCAGGTGGTGCAAAGCTGCACATGAGAGAGCCTCTCCCTGGATCCCAGCACACTGTACCTGCCACTGGCACACACAGAACTTCCACCCTGTGCTCTGGTGTGTGGCACTGGTGCTTCCACATGGCATATTCCAGCTATACATTCTACTAAAAAAGTCAAATCCTCTGCTGTTTGTTTCCCAAAATATGACATTCTTTCTTATGCTGTAAAGTAGGAATATCCTGCTGTCCTCAAGGACTGAGTGATGTCAGGGGCAAGAAGCATTTCCATCCCATTTCACTTGTCCTTTGGAACAGAGTGTAAACTGTGGTCACTGCTGGAAAGCTGCTGGCAGATATTGGCCAAGATGAAATGGAGCAAATACTAACACTGATTTTTAACACTGACTGCAGCTGCAATAAAATCCTCATCCCTCATTCCAGTCACCACAAAGCCAATCCAGAGCCCTGACTATCTGCAGGGGGGAACATCACCTCTTCACTCTGTCCACAAAGAAAGCAAACAGAGCCAAGTCCAGGTCTCCTGCTGGTGACTATTAGCTCAAAAGCAGCCAGAGGAAACCCCACCCTCAGAGGACAGCAGAAGGATGGGTCAGAGCCCCTGGAAACTTTTTTCTAACAAGCCCTTACATGGCTTGGTGCAGAAGTAAAGACCAGCAGGAGTCAATTCACTTCCCAGCAGTACACAGCATAGTCATCATCAGGAGACAGGAGAGAACGCTGTGACTCTGGAGCAAGGGTCTGAGATGTTTGGCTGTGAGTCTGAGCTGAGGAAGAAGAAACTGTGCATTTGGCAGGGGGAAACCATCAGACAATAAAGAGAAGTGCACATTAGAGCCTTCTCTGTAAACAAACAGCAGCCTCAGAGCCAGGACCTCACGGAGCTTGTGAGATCAGGAGGGAGCTGTGCCCTGCCCATGCAGGAGGAAAAGAGTTCAGGTTATAAGGCTGTAAGTTCATGTTAAAAGAAGTGATCTGAGTAATACTCCTCTGAATATGACATCTACTGCTCACGGATGAACTAAGACTCGGAAGATTTTAGTTCAAGTCTCAAATCCAGCTGTGAGTTTCCTTCCTGTGTGGCTCTGAGAAAAATGATCCCTATTCCTCTGTATCTCACTGTTAGATTAATGGTAGGAGTTGATGATCTTAGGAGTCTTCCCAACGTTAACAATTCTGTGATTCTTTTCTGCTAAACTTTCCCTACCAACAAAGAGAAAGCTGTCATTGAATTTTGGGTAGTATTTATCACAAACTGGCACAACTTAGGGGCACCCTGTGAGAATGCTGAAAGTGAACAAGAAATGAAGGAAACTGGATGTCATTTTCATGGTGAAACCCAGCTAAGGGTTGTGGGTTTTCTTTTACAAAATGATAAAGAGATTTGAAAGATGTGACATTTAAAAATCCAAATCAGACAGAGCAGGCTTAAGAAGTTAAATGTACATATTTTTTGTGATCTTGAACTCGAAGCCACCTACATTTTGTAGATACTATTAATCCAAACATGCCAATCTATTCTGAAATGCTTGCAAGGATGCAAATTCCCAAGCTGTATCCCTCCTCTCTTTTACTATTGGAAACAGTTCTGAAAATTGTGATTATTTCCATTCTTAACATATGTTTGTTTGCTCACCTGGCAAACACCAACTAGCATGCTCATTTATTCAGCTTTATACTTTGCACGTACCATTATTTCAACATCAGCATCCCTCTAAATACTGGGCAATCCTAGCTCAGCAACAGCTGAGGGGCAGCCCATAAAATAATGTATTACCAGGAAGTCAATGGGAAAGAGACAGTTTCTGGTGCTGCTTCTTTTTCATTTTCATGTGGTGGAGCACTGCCAAGCCAGAGTGTTTCTGCTAGCATTATTCCAACCATCCCTAACATAGAAAGCCCCATGACAGGCAGCTCGTTTGTCCATGTTCCCCTTTTGCCAGTTTCCCACACATTTCTAACAAGTTTCTACCCCAATCCTGCCAGGTTTCTCTGTTATACAAAGCAATATTAAGACAGTGCTTTCATATTCTAGGGAGAGGACAATTAGAAGTGAGATGGAAGCCACCTATTTTCATGTATGTTATCAACAATGTGATTTTTGTTCTAGATTTGTTGTTATGGTGTTGTATTTCTATTCTGGAGAAATGCTTGGAATGCTGTTATTCTGCACCCTAGGGCCAGTGATTTGGATGGAGTCAGGATATGCATTTGAGCTGAGAGCTTTGCACAGGAAAGGCTTTTAGGTCCTCACACTTACAAGCACACTGAATTCAGCAAGGAAACCTTTGGCAGGACAGTCTGGAGCACACTCAGCAATTACATTATTTAGTCAGAAGACATCTTGTGAACAATAAAGAAATGCAATTTGAGGTTCTCCTCCCCGAAGACAGACTGAGCACAAGGAACATTGATTCATAACCACAGAAAGAGAGATACACTAAGAAGAGAACAGCAGGACCCTCTCCCAGCCCCTCCCTGCTCCTGCCAAGCAGAGCTGCCACACAATTTCACATCCCGTTCTGGGCACAGCTGGAATAAGATGACTGAGGTATGAGGTCAGGAAGAGATGAGAGAGAGGGACTGCAAGGAAGGACAAACTACAAAATAAAACAAGTTAGCTTCAAAGGAATGCCTTAACAATATTATCTTATTTTGGAACTCCTCCAGTAAGAACCTCTTCTCAGGATTTCAAGAAATGGCTGTGATCACACTTTCATAATTTTTTTTGCTATTCTTCTACATTCCTTTCAAGTACATCAAGTTTTCTAACCTAAGTGCAATATATAAAATCCCAACATGTATTTGCCTTATTCACTTTTATTTCTAGCTTACATAAATGGGTATTATACCTCCTTCTACCAACAGTAATACTACAGCAAGCAATAAAAATAACTTAATAGTTAGTATACCACCCTCTCAGAGAGTAGATGGGATTCAGCTCAAGGATACTTCTGAATCAAAGAAAAGAGCATACACTTTTTATGTGGAAAAAAAAACCCAAGCTTGGCAATAATTGTGAGTGCAAGACTGTTAACAAGAAAGGGGAGATGAAAATAAACATACAAGAGGTGGCTATAGAAAGATATAAAAAGAAAGTACATGGGAATAAAAAGAGAAATTTGACCAGATAAAAGGGAAGTAGGCAAGGGAAGCAAATATAATTGAGAACTGGAGGAGAGACTCTGTCAATGTGCATGAGGAATGAGGTCTATATGGTTCAAAACTAATTCACTGCAGCTTCTGGAATATTTTCATTTGCATTTTACTGTTTGGAATGTGGTCCAGAATAGCACAGAAACTGATCAGCAGAAATCAAGGGAAATCCCTTCACTTTGTCTGTATCTCATATACTCTTCTGGGGCTAAACTGTCCATGAGATGTCAAATTCAGAGGCAGCTTAATGAATTTCATTTTTTCAGCAAGCACAGGCTGCCTCAGCAAGGGTGCAGAGTCCCTGCAAAGTTACAGTTATGGCCACCTAATAGAGCAAAAGGGTATCAGGTGAAAAAAATAAGAGAACACTGTTGAGGATGGGATGACTAGAGTCCTCCTTGGACATATTACATGGGGATATAAATTATTATTACATGGGGTTTATAAATTCCTGAGGTCTGTGACAGAACAATCACAATATCTGATTTTCTTGTTTTGGAATGGAGACATCCTTACCTTGCAGATACATTTCTTCTCCTTCTGTGAACATTTGGTTGCATCTGCTGCATCGTGCACAGCTTGGATGATAATGCTTGTCACCTGCCTAAACAAGAACAAAAAAGGAACATGAGGGACAAATGCATTGCACTGCTCTCTGAGCACTCATTATTTGCTGATTGACCATTGCCCTCTTTCTTCCAGTTCACCTGTTTTGATACAACACTGCCCTCATGATGTGACAATGGCACTGAGAATGTAAGTTCTGCCACACTGCTTCAGCCCCGAGGTCTATTCTGACCTCAACAGAGGCCAGCAGGGAGCATTGGGGAAAAGTCTGTAAGAGAAAAGAAAGCACAGAACAGCCTCTCCTCTCCACACCTTCCCATTCGAGTAATCAGTGTCTTCCTGGCTAGGAGCTACATCATAAGGTACCTGTTCTCCATGATTTCACAAACATATTTTTAAATCTTCATCTATCTTACAGTCCAAGGCAATGAATGTCACACTGCAGTTAATTTGTGTAAACCTGCTGTCTCCTGATTTTGCCAAACAACACGTCTTTTCTCAATTGCTCCATTGTTATGGAAGGATTTAGCCAATAAATGAGTTTTCAACCTGCCATTTCATTCCTTGGCCTTCGTCCCTACACTGCTGATATGGGTATTAGTAAAGAGAGCTTTCTAGAGCCACTTCTGGGACCATTGATTTAATTCCCAGATGCCTGACTTCAGAAGCTACACCAGCACAGACAGCCTGAGCTGAATTTGAACTACTGATGTAAAGGTCCTAAATACCCTAGATCCTGTTACCCAAATCCACTGAGTCATTCAGTCTCTTAAATACATTGATACCCATAATAGGTAAAGCTGATCAGATTTCAGGCCTATAAGGACAGGAAAAATCAAGGCATAAATATTAATGCGATTTCTTCTCCGTAGGAGACCAAAGCAATCAATAAATCAGCTTCCTCACATCATAAACTAAGCACAAAATGTCCACATCAGGCTTTTAAATAAATGCTAGAAAATGACCCTTCATAGTGACAAGTAAAGAATTCTATAAGTCTTTGAATTTGTATCTGGCTTTCCAAACGAATTAACCTCAAGTCCTTTTTCACAAATATTCCTCATGCACTGAGATGCTATATGCACAAAGTACCCGTTTACTCTATAGCTGACTTGCAAAATTCATCAAACCCTTTCCTACCTCATCATACTTAAGACCATAACACCACCAAATCCAACCTTTCATTTTGTCTATTGAGAAGAATAACAACATTTTGGTTCACATTTGACATTCTTTACATAGGCTTTTTATTTAAACATATTTATAGGAGATGATGAAGTACATGGATTAAAGTACCTGACAGCTACCAGAAAATCAACTTAACCACCCAGCTCTTCTACAGGTAAAGTTGCACAATTCCATTTTAATAACTCCCATCCAGGAATTTCAGCAATACAAGGCCAGGGAGGAGGACTCTGTGCTGATAGTATAGTTATACATTTCCCTGTTCAGTTGCAAAAAGCCTGCACTCCTTTTTATCAGATCCTGCATTTACTGTTGATTCTTGCACTTTAGGGGCAAAATCCACCAAACAGAGAGTAATGGGATTTAGGTCTTTTTAGTAAAGCAGATTCAGAGCTATCAGGCAAAACAGGGTATCTATTGAAAGGGAAAATGAGAAATCACTACAAAATATGCTTACTCAAGGAAGAAAAGCTAATGAGGGAGAAAACACAGAATTGATGTTTGACTTGCAGCAACAAAGCCAATATTGAACCAAGAGAGAAAAACACAGTTAATACTCATTCTCTATCATTTTCATTACTGTCTACCTTCTTAATCTCTGACTCTCCCTAGCAATTATTTAACCTCTGAGGTGTCCCACTAGTTTCATTCCAGACTGGAATTTACAGGATAAAGAAACCCAGAATTCATTACATTATTAGATGTAGACCTGTGGCTTCTCTGAAGTTTTGTTTCCCTGGAAAAATTTCTGATAAGCTACAGTCAAGGGAATATAGTTCAAACCACGTACAGCTGCCTCTTCCAAACAGCCAAAGGGATCAATTTCAAGTTTATCAGGTCTGTCCCTGAGACTGAAACAACTGGCTAAATTTTAGTCTGGTGTGAGTGATGATGAATGAACACCACACCCCAGATAACACAACCCTGCAAGTCAAAGTGTGAACACACCCTGCACTGGAGAGGTTTTCAGGGAGTCACATACCAGAACAGCTGCAGTTGTTTTTAAATACTTCCAAAACAATTTCATGAGTTTTCTGCCTCTGTAATGTTTCTACAACTCATGAGTGGGATCCTTCCTATAGCAGGTATTTACTAGAAAACATTCTGAATCTCAACTAATTTGGGACTCATCTGACTTGCTGTGATTATCTGGGGAAATGGTTGCTAAAAATCAGTAATTTCTAATGTATTAGGACAAACTTTTGCATCTACAAGTCAATGAAATATTTACACTTTCTAGACATCTGCTTTTGCCCTTTTAGGGCTACTAAACCCTCATTCAGTATGTTCAGTGTGGAGCTTTTTGGGATCTCATGCCACTGTGCTGTGCATTAAAAGGTTTTCATCTCAATCCTCATGGCAGGAACAGGTAACATTAATTAAGTGCACATTTGCCCCAAACATTCTTCAGTCAAGGTGAGAGAGTTAAAGGCTCTTGTCTTCTCACTCTGCTGAGTTCCCCTTGCCCCTTCTCCAGTTCACATCCAGAAATCCTTTGCAGCTCTCTGTGCTATGCAGCCACTGGGATTTGATCTATCATACTGCTGTGGTCCCTTCTGAATTATTTCACTTTGGTTGAGTCATCAGGACTATCCAAACCATCAAGCACAAACTGTGACCCATATCTTAGAGGACAGTCCCTAAAATAAGATGGAGTAAACTAAATTAATTGCTGCAAATACTTTGGCTTGCTTAGCTAGAAGTGCTAAAAGAAACCAAAATCATATTTAACATTTTTACTTCAAATTCTTAAATGGAATTGAATGAATTGACAGCAATTTATTGCCAAAAGAAATATTAAACCTATGTGTTGCTGTCACTGCCTATAAAGTCTCTGTTAAATCATCAGACACTTGCATGTGCCCAAAAAGCAAAGAACATCAGTTATCAACTTATGACAACATACAACCTCTTCTGATTTGCCAATTTATCTTCTACCCACATTGACAAATCTGAAATAGGTTCTCAGATAAAATCCCATTTGAACACAGCAGACAGAAAAAATTAAATTGAAAAAGTAGAAGTAGATTCGCATTTACCAAATACTTCTAGAGCCTTAGAACCGCAGAGTGAAAAAACAGTGACCAAAGGAATTCTACAAGCAAAATTATAAATATAGATAAATGGATGCTAAATTTGAGTAGCTTTCTATGGCTCTGCAAATCTCACTGAGCAGTGACTGATCAAAGATATAAGAGTTTTAGTTATTTTCTATATACTACAAATATATATACTGTCCACAATATGCACATTATATGCATGTTCATGAATGGAATAGATGCATTATTTTAGATAGTATTAAGGATCTATTTATTCTGATAATTTCAAGGCTTAAACTGTAATCAAGTCTGTATCAACACTGACCTTCAGTTTCCCAGTCTACAAAGCAGGTTAAATTCCATTTAATATCCTACATAAAATTCTTTGGAGAAATGCTACCAAGGAAAACCATTACAGAAATGTACTCTTCGTAACCACTCTTAAAAATAAAACCATGTAATCACATCTCTAATGCTTGTGAAGGACAGTTGGAGGCTCAATGACCAGGATTCATGGATGATTGATTACACAGGAGGGCTGGATGTGTTTATCCTGCAGAGAACGTCTCAAGCACCATGAGCAAAAGTACAAACTCTATTATGTATTATAACAATACCAATACCTATAATAATAGTTGACAATGAGAAACCAGTTTTTCACACCAGATTTTTCACAGATCACCTTTTCAGACCCAGAAGCCATACATTTCCAGCCTTTTCCCAGCATGCTATTCTCCCAAATGACTTCAACGTGGATGTTACAAATCCTCCTTGGCTAAGAGCCTCTGTGGAGTGTTCACAGAGAGCTTTGAAGGCTCCTTCTGATGGGGTGGGGTAGTGACCCTGCACACTTGTCCACAGTGGTGGCAGAACAGAGGCACTGGGTTACACACTGTGTGCACCCAGCTCAGAGACCTCTGCCAGTTTAAAAGGTAAACTGAAGGGTTAGGGGGTACTTGAAGCACCAGCTGGACACCACTGTGTGAGCTCCTGTACAACCTTCTCACCCTGCTGATGCTCCAACCTATTCAAAACATGCACAGTGCTCATTAGCCTTCACTTTATAAACTTTGCTTGTTTGGGGACCTCCTGAAGACAGCAATGTACTGTCACTCCTAGCTGTCAGGGAAGGCAGTGATAGGTATTACAAGAATTATTCCAACCCAGGAGCTGCAAGTACATCTGCAGACAAGCCAATATGTCCCAAAACTCCAGCTGAAAAAGTGCCTGAGCTCAAATACAGCATTAACCCTGAGGTAACAGCACTTCAGAAGCCAAGGACTGCATTTTCTGAGTCCAACCCCTCTGCCCCCACTTCCCTCAAGATTAACTTTTATTCTCTGACTCTAGGCTGATAAAATAAATGTTTTCCTCTTTGGTGAACATGAGAGCTTAAGATTTCCTATTACTCATGCCTTCAGCTCTGTCCTTCCTTCCAGAACAACAGTGAACAAGAGCCAGAGAGAACAATAACAAGAATCCCACTAGGAGAGCTCACATGCCAGTGGGTCTGGTAGAGGAAGAACTAATTACCAACAGTCATGTTCTGCTGGCCAAAGGACACAATTAAGTGCATATTTGTTGTGTTACATTTGCACAGCTGCACTCATTCACTCTCAGAGATAACTTAGCAGTCACCTGATAGAAACCATGTAGAAAGCTTTACTTTTCTATTTAAATACTACAAAAACTACTATATAGTTGAAAGAATACATCTGAGAGTAAAAGCACTTCCCTTTTTCCCATTTTTTTTTTAGTTTTTAGGGACAGTTATAATAGGCCCATTTGAGAGACAAACCTATCCAATATTTAT